TCAATCCACCTGTCAACCGTGACGGTTAAAGGAAATTCTCACTTCGACGGGAGAGCCCATATCCATCATTAGAAGCTGATGAGAAAGAAAAATAACTGTATTTAATAGTTCCTCCTAGATTTAATGATAGTAAATAATATTACAACACTACAAATAATTGAATTATATCCTTAGTAAGAGTGTATCTGCAATTTTAATTACTCCTAGAACAATATTAAACAATTACGTTACGTAGTACTTTTATACGTGGTAGAGCCACGCTGCAGCTATATTATGTTTGTAGCTCGTATGGGTCGGCTCGACTAAGGTAGGACCACGCTCTCACAGAATACCAGCGTATAATAGCAGCTTAACGCTGCTGTGTTTCGTATGGTGAGTGTAGAGAACCGGAGAACCTTTTTACTGGAAACGGGGCATTTCATCTTAGTCCTCAGGGTTGACAATGTATCTGTATTTTTATTCTTAATTGAGAATAAATGTAGATGATTATGGGCCACAGCATCCACTTACCATCAGGTGGACTGAGTGCTCGTTTGTCACCCATATTCTATAAAAAAAAAACTATTATTTACGACATAACCACAAATGGTTACGTCATTCTTTCGTTGGGTTTGAATTATTGACGTATTTAGACATGTTCAACTTTTCTACCAGATTCTACCAGGATACGATGTTAGTGCACACGACCCGTAAAGACTGAGACACTTCTTCATCTAAACTTCTATAAATGGATGAATCGTCTAAGAACTTTATACAGTATAGTAATGTGCATCCCACCGTCCCACGATTATTAAAAATGTAAGTAAAGTGACATAGTGTGCATTCGTCCCACTGCTAAGCGAAGGCCTATGCTTAGCAGCGAGACGTGTTGGGGACGAGAGAAATCTCATCCCCAACAAACGGTTTAGGATTAGGAAGAATCCACCGAGCTGCCTCAATGCATAATGACAGATTTTATTAGGCTTATATCTTATTTTTGATTCTCAGATATGCAGGTTTCCTCATGCTGTTTTCCTTCACCGCTGAGCAGGTGTGCACCATACTTAATGCAATGAACAATTTCATTAGTATCGTCTTCGGAGATCGATCTCGGTTTCCACGCCATCGCAGTCATATGTCATATAACTAACTACCGCATATTCCGTTATCTTATATTTTTATATGCTCATGATTTACTGTGTCGCATACGCTTATAGGGCATACATGTACTTATGTTTAGCTCTTGATATCGCTGATGCACTCTAAACTTCATAACGACAACAAATTTGCATACCTTCCCGAAGGCTGATATTTCCGGGGAGGATGCGCTCAATATATATCAACATATATATTGCACTACAGACTAGACACTTTTAAGGAATCGTGTTTTTATACTAAAGCATAATACAGAATATTTTCTTTGTAGTTAATAGGTTATAGGTTTTTTTTCCCACTAATCCCACTATGAGGCAATCTATGGGGAAAGCCTATGTTCAGCAGTGGACTTTAGACTTTATTTGATCTACAGATGGACTTATTTATGATCTTATAAAACAAACTTTTATCCTTAAAATTTTCACCTGTTTCTCGGATAATCCAGACAGAGTTAGTACTATATTCATTTATAACAGGAAAGCATAGGAAATGAAACTTTAAACCTATTGAGAAAAGACCTTTTTTAAAACCTCGCCCGAAACTTTTTAAATTGATCCTAACCGTAGGGTTTCCGGCAATTGAGAATTAAGAAGGAAATTCACTTACCTATGTTGACAAATTTGTTTAAAACAAAAAATAATGTACTTTGCTACGTTGTCATATAGTTCTGTTTCAACTACAACGAGACGCGGAGCCCATTGTGAATTGTTATTGTGTCCATTTGTAATTTTGTACCATTTTGTCAAATTAACTTTTGACAGGGAAATTAATTTCACTACTCTTATGGTGGAAGGGTGCCGATTAATATCACGTATAGCCAACACTTATCATTTGTAATTAATTAAAGTAGTCTCAATACAAAAAGTGGTTTTTTGATGGTCTGGTATCAGTCCATAATTACTAAAAATGTCCATTAGCCGCGGCGTCACAGTCCTCGCGAAATTTGACACTTGCTGTCTACCTTCATTTTAGTTCGCATATTTCCACGGGACTTCTTTCATAGAACTGATTCTAGTTTAAACCCCAATACCGAACACTGTAGCGTAGAAAGTTGCTTACTAAAACAGGAAGCGTTATTACAATGCTGCGATGGACTTTGTAAATCTAGGCAGGCTTGCAGGAACTGAAGATTAACTCGTGGTAGTGCTACGCTGTAACTGTATTATTGCTACGGCTCAAATGGTTTGGTCGACCGGGACAGGCCCACCGCTCCACAGAAAATAGAGAACTGGCGACCCTGTTTTGACTGGTTAACTAAGCACTCCGTCTCTTAGTCCACAGGAGTGAGAGTGATTGATGTAGGTGTATTAAGACCACAGTGTTCACTTACTATCTGACCAACTGTGTAATCATTTGTTGCCCGTATTGCATAAAAATATACATCCTATTTATTATAGATATGAAGAAATTAATATTTAGGAAATGCAAAAGTATAATGTTAGGCAAAACGGTAGTACGTTACCCATCGGCACAGGAGGCAGACAAACAGTTTATGCGTACATCACCAGCACTTAATATTTCGAATTATTATATAGGGCTAGGTTTTTATTATACATTACAGTACAAAAAATAATTTCTATTGCGCATGAGTAAGTAATTCATATTGTAAGGGGCGATATTAATCGCGCTGTGGATTCAACAAAAGTTGAATAAAGGGATATCGATCGCAAACAAAAAGCAGATCAAATGAGTATACTGCTATACATTAATACATAGCGTTTGTAATACTGATTGGAAATGTAGGTAGGCTACGTTTTGGCATTTGGTTTCTTTGTATTGTGTAAAGGTATCATTATCGATTTAGTTTCCATTTATTCGATTTGACCGTGTAGTGACGGTGTAGGAATATCCACTACCCCATATCGTCCAAGGAGTGCTATACGTTGCAGACGTCTGTCTTTCAGTCCGATTAGACTCTGGGCGTCTTCAAGGCAAGAGTGAATAGGCTTTTGTTACGGTAAGATCCACCACTTACCATCAAATGGGATTGTATTCAGCCACTGGCTAATAATAAGTTAAAAAAAGTTACTTGGTTTTTACTTAAATGAATTTAATAATAAACTTTAAAGAAGATGAGTCCCAAGTCCACGATCAAGAGTTGAAAAGGTTTTCAATTAAACTTTGAAATCGTTTTTAAGTTTCAAGAAATTCTCCATGGTAAAATTGAACAGATCCCCGAAACTGTGAAGTAAAATTTGCATTTTGTGGGAAATTTACACTTGCTTGCTGATTTTTTTTAATAATCAAGTAACAAATAAAGTAAAGAACCATATAAATTGTTGTCTTTTCTCTGGGGTTTACATAGTTAAATACCAAAGTTAGTAGTGATTCGATTTATATAGCACCAATTTACCTCAGTTGGGACATATGCTGTATTTCCTAGGGTCAGAGTAGTTTTACGCACAACGAAGTCTTAAAACATCGTAGCAGTTTCACGATGGCTGCGGTGTTCGATAGCATCTTCAGGACGGGCTGAATTGACAGCTTAGTGGTGGAGAGAGCGCGGTCGCGATTCTAGTGGACTTTTCGTCGGCTGAATTCCGACATAACCCGCCTGCTTCCCACTAGGACAGCCGGGTATCCTTGAGGATTTCCCTGTATAATAAAAGGGTCAGGATGGATGTAGTGTCTGTTCAGTCGTTAGTAAAACTGTAGAGTTAGTTAATACGACCGAAGTTGCTTTTCTTTTTTTATTTCATATAAGGGAACAAACGAGCTAAATATGAGCGTTGTAACGACTGAGAACAAAAAATTTAAAAGTAATACGGTGTGTATTTGTTTTGCTTTGTAAACATTGGCTTGTAAATGCTAATCTTAGAAAATTATCTTTGCCTTATTTATTAAATTGATAATTTGATATTGAAAATCCGACAATCAAACTTGTGCAAAAAACTATTCGAGTGTTCACTGCATCTAACGTTTTTAAGATTTACATCCCTTCAAACGCTTTTGCTTCGGTTATTAAACCGTATAGTGAACGTGTCAAAGAACTTCAGCTTACAAAGTCCCATATCTGAATATTCAAGTAATGTACTTGACACGAAGAGTACGGCACACGTGTGACACTGCCTTTTCATGTTCATCGCGTTCCATAAATTTAAAGGGTTTTTTGAGAATATTTAGAAAATATAAATATTTTTATATTTATAAAATTATAATATTAAAATTTATTTTACATGTAGTTTTTATTTACTGACTGTGTAAGAATGTCCACTAGTTACCCCATATCGACCCGTGGGTGTCGTAAGAGGCGACAGAGGGAAACTGAAACATGAGATGAGCAACAGTATTTTCGTTATAACTTCTCAAAATAATTAAAAAACTGCAGCCAACGACCTTGCCTGACAAGCAATGCAAATATGGCAAAATCTCTCCTAAAAGGCCAATATGCGGTAAACCTATGTTCAGCAGTGGCCTTTTATAGTATGGAATTAATGAAATGAAAGAAAACTAAGTTTTTATGTTTGGTAACGAAATGTTTGTCATGTTATTTTAAAACAAAATGTGTATAAAGGTATTTTTTTTGTTTCAGATCAAATCTTCATTAAACACATGATGTGCCAAGAATATCTTTCGTCAGAACTGACACTATTGTACCTTCTAAAGAGACACACACACTGTCAGTCTAAAATAGAATGACTTGAATCTCCACAGAACCTCAACCTCACACTGAATGTGATACTCCATTACGTAACTAGGGCTATATATAATTAGTTTTCATTTGTTTCCTAAGATAAGCCCCGCGTTCCTCTAGTTTTAGCGTCAATTAGCAAACCAAAGCCATTATTAAATATAAAATAGGGTCTCATAGAAACGAAATATTAAAAATAATACTATATATTTTTCTTAACCAAAGCTAGTCTAAGATGGCGAATCAAATGCCGATATATAGTCAAGTAGTGCCGAAGTCACAGTACCGTGGAAAGAATTCTAAAGGCATGGCCACACGTGAGGTACGAGCGCAGAACTTGACGCGGGGTGACTTTGATCCTTTGAATTTCAATCACAGCGGAAACATGCCGCTGATCAACACACCTTTAGAAAGCAGAGTGGAAAAGTTAGAGAAAAGGGAGGCGAGACGGAAAGAGGAGGCCATTCGCGCGAGGCGGAAAAATGAGGCAAACGAGGGGAAGGTTGAGGCGTATTTAAGGCAGAATCAAGTCAGTATGAGGCAGCAGCAACATAGACATTCGGCCGTAAGGCAGGCGGAGCACAGAGTAAATCTTAGGTAAGTGAGAAATTTTTCAACTTAAGTCATTAAATTTCTTAAAAATATTATTATATTTATCATAATATAAAGGTTTTAAATCTACTTATTTTGATAAAGTAAGCTATATGATAGGACACTGAAAAAATTTTGCGAACATATTTATATGATACGCTCGTCATTTTGAAAATACTATTATTCACAAGTAAAAATACGTAAGTTTCAATTACAAATTTCTTCACATTATCGTGTGGGTTTTGTAAGTGGCGACAGAGGGAAATGAAACAGGTGATATCATTCCGTCTGCAAACGTGGCAAATAAGGAAAATAACTGCCCCCTATGTTTGCCTGCCCCTGGTGTTTCACCCCCCGTGCCTCAAAAAAACCGTTGGTTCTACAGTACTACACCTCATCTCTCTCCGATCGCGTTGAATTGCATTGGCATTAGACTGTGAGAGTGATGTAATAGAGCGTGTTCCTGTGCATACGCACACACTTGTGCCACATGAGTAAAGAAACCGACCAGAGGGGAAGCTACATACAAACGTCTCGTTTCGGGTACACCCACACATAGCGCAGCGATGAGTGCGTGAGCTCTCACCGACAGATTCACCGACGCTCCGTCAGGGTACAAACCGGTTTGCCCCGGCTCAGTCAGAGTGTAAATGAAAGGGCTGTTGGTCACGCGCATTGAAATAAATAGACAAATAATATTTCGTGATTTTATAGATCAATAAATCTATTAATTTTTTTTACAATTAGAGTTAAGTTTAGAGATTGCGTACTATAAAATAAGACATTATAGATTTATAAGTATATATTTATATTAGATAATTAGTGTTCGTATAAGCTAAATGCCGAAGTTGTACAGTATGTATGAAAAAATTCGAGAGAAAATATTTCAATAGCCAGACAGTGGTGCAGTCAGTGTTAGTGGTAGTAGTGCTGGTAATGGTGATGGTGGACGGTGGTGCTGACCGTGCGGTGTTGGGTAGAGGTGGATGGTGGTGCTGTACGTGCTGGTAATGGTGTCAGTGATTGTCACCACAATGCTGGTAGTATCATTGGTGGTGGTGGTGGACAGTGGACTGCCACTGGCACTACCACCATGACCAGCATCACCACCACAGCCCTTACTACCGCCACCATCATCCTAGTAGTAACATTGGTGGTGGTGGTGTATCAACACCGCCACTGCCCACTACCATCAACACAGTCATTACTAATATGTATATATGTATATGTAATGTGAAGCTAAACATGAAAATACAAATAACAGACATGTTATTATATTAACTTAAGTTACAATGAATACACATGTTATTTTATACAAAATAATAATTTTATTTTTTCCTTAACATTTTCACTTGCATCAGGTGATAACCCTATCAGAATAGGTATAGATTTTCGACGTTTTTAGAAAGCTTCCCCTCTCGTCTTCTTTACTCTGTGCTCGTGCACTATAATTCTGTCCTGCCCAGTTGGCTAGTCTCCATTGAGGATGGAGGACATTATAATAATTACCCTCGCACTAGGAGTCTTCTGTTTGTCGTAGATGCGTTTTTCAAACAATACTAACTATTAATGAAATGAAATGTATATATAAGTAGTATTTATGAAATGTACATTATGTATAATATATTAATTACTACAGTTACCATTTAACGTAAATAACTTATTTAATATTCCAATTTTAAATTTAGGTCTCTTCCACTAAACGACATTTCTACCCCTCGAGGCCACGAAAGAACACCGACTGATAGGCACCGGGGATTTCCGGAAAGGGAACGTGACGGCTCCAGGGAGTACCGGCGTGAGAGGGAGAGGGACAAAGATCGAGAGCGAGACAACTTTGAGTTTGACGGTTGGTTAGAATTTTATTTAAATTCTATTGAACTGTAGTATATTATATGCATGGAGTTCGAAGAACGGACAACCGATGGGGAGAAAGGTTTTTGGAAGGCAGTTTCGTACTGGCAAGCATAGTGTTTGGCAACCCCTTACTAGATAGAGTGACGACCTGGTGAAACACGCAGGCAGTTGATATTTGCGGGAGGCTCTGGGCCGTACTTTGTGGTAATCTATGGGGGAGGCCTATGTTCAGCAGTGGATTTGTGGTGGGCTGTGATAGCTTGGCTTGTGGTAGTAGATATATTATTTTATCTAACAGAGTTTCAGAAGTTGTATTAAGACTTGCTCTACTACGTTAAAACTTTTTAAGAGGCGATTTGTAAATGTCAGTTTTCTTTGCTCTACAACGTAGTCAACTTGGAGAGTTTGAAAAGGAAAAAGATTTGGTTAAAATTAAGTCGATCATTTAACTGTGATGTGCGGAAATAGTTTTAGATGATAATTTTTAAAATTATTTTGTACTCATCCACATATTTTCTTTATATTAATTTGATCCAAAACATGGATTTTTTATTTTCATTTTAAGCCAGTTTCGGGGATTGTTTTTAACATTTTAATAACAACTGTAAGGGAATGTTCCGCCGCGCTGGCCCAGTGCGTGATGGCAGACTCCCCGTGTCTTCGAAATATTTTCTTTCAATTTCGCAGACATTGTAGATTTCTTCACGATGTTTCCCTTTACTATAGAGCACATGCTAAATCAACACTAAAAAGGTGCAATTAACAATTTCTTTGGAGTTCCTTTATCTTTTTTTAGAAAGCTTTTTTACCAGTAAAAATGCCTCCGGTTCTCGTCACTTATCTGCCCTATGTACCCTTTACTTTAAGGTGTCACATTTAAGCTTTTTAAATAAAATAATATACTTCTCTCCAATTTACTAATGGGTGCAAAGTTTATACTTACTGTTGGCGACTGTACAGTATTCTACTATCTAGTCTCAGTTGCACCGGTAGCTAAAGGCGGAAACTTTAAGGTTTACCGCTTTGCGCATAACAAAGCGAGTATGAACAATAGAACTGGTTCATTGTAGCTCTGTACTGGCGCTAAACAAAGTGAATTGCGAGCTTTTACGTACAATGTGTTTTTTTTTAAATAAGTGCGGCATCGTTGTATGTTTAGGTTAGAAGAATTTTTTAAAATGACATGAAATAATGTTTTGTATCTATCTGCTTAATACATCATATTAGAACCATAAAAATCATAGCACCACAAAATAATGGCTAAAAATGTAAAACTTTTTCACGAATTCTTCATGTGTTGCGTATGATGGGGGCGTTTCATCATCATCATTACTGCGAAAGATAGGTCTCGTTCAAAGAATGTGAGTGGCGAGAACCGGATACCTCTTTCCCTGGCCAATCCATCATCGTCCTCTGATGTGCCGGCATATCGGTATTTGGGCAGATTTAGATGTCTTTGTGCCTCAACATCTATTTACTGGATCTGTTTACCGGCGACCCGAGTAATTTTACGTCACCATTACTTTATAAAGAGTATTTGGTGATATGGTAGAATTACATGAAGTTTAGTATACAATTGTCTGTTGTTTTTGTAATTGTGCAATTGTTGAACATTATCTAAATATGTATAATTATTATGCGAAGAACATGAGTTACTAAAAATCCCATCATCACTATTCATTGTGGTTCCTTTTCTGTCACGAAGTCTCCCTGGGTAGATACCACACTCTGACTACCTATTTTAGCCGCCAATGGGTTCTTCCGCTACCGTGGTATTCCGTTTTAGCTTCCGGCTGCGTGCATAGCACGTGCTCGTGTCGTGTATCAGTTCCCAGGCACGGCACTAGGAAAGCAGGCATTATGATATATTTCATGCAGTAAAGACGTCACGCGGACGTACTGCGCAGCACACCTTTGTACACTTCAGCCATTAATCTTCAGGGGTCGACAATATTTTTATTTGGCAGATACATATTTCTGAGAAAAACACTTACAAGGTTCAGCTGAGATAATAATTTATGTTATGGTTTTTTAACGAATACGATTTTTCGAAATACATAATATTTGTAATTGTTACGCGTAAATTTTTTCTCCACCAGTAACGCCATTAAGTCCAATAGCGTCGCGAGCTTACGAAAAGGAGTCGAACCGACCAGTCCGCAAATCATCTTCTGCGCATAGAGTGACTGAGGCGACCATAAGCACGGACAAGAGACGGTTTTTCTGCAGGGAGTGGGCCTTCCAAAAGATCGCACACTGCCTCGAGCAAAGGCCAGTCAGTAAAACCTGTGGAGCGCTAATATTAGGTGAGTTCTATTTCAGATTTAGTCATTTACTGACGGAGACCAGTACAGACGCTTGGTGAATCTCCACCCTTTAGTTTCCATCATGCTACGTATTCGAATCAGACAAGTGTTTTCATCCGATTATTAACTACACTGGTTATAAATTAATACAAAGCAAACTTATATATTATAAACACTTGGCTTATACAGGCTGATATTGAATTACTTGGCATCGATTGAACATATTATTCTATTTATATTAAGGTTTATATTAAATTAAATAAATTAGTAAAAGCGCAGAAAAGCAGAGGAAAACAAAAAAGTAAAAAATAAGCAGAGTACGATTATTTTTTTTTTGGTATTAATGGTGACTTGATAAATGACACACACACATACATATATATACATAAACAAGAAAAGATCTATAGAAAAAAAAACGGAATAATTTATTAGGAGAGAACATGGTAAATATTATACAAAGTATTTTATCTCGAACTCTGCACATTATTGTTCGCAGTTTGTAGCAACAGTATATTTTAGTTCCCCTCCATACTGCGTACACACCGTACACCCGCGTCCATGGGCGGTTTTCATCGCCCAGAACAGCGAACGACACGAGTTAGCCGTCAGAGCCGGGGACCGCCACCCTTGTTCGGACGGCGGTTAAGCAACTTACCCATGTCATGTTGTGGTTTTCGGCGACATCAAGGAGTATTCGATGTTGATGTAATGATGATGTGTTCACTGAACACAATAAATCCTACACTCAGATTATCGATTTTAGAGCAACGTCTCTTTTGCAACGTTACACTACAATAAATATTCTGCCCCCCTTTTTATAGTCCGATGTATGCTAGATGTATGATGTATGATTTTTAATGTCCCTGAGTCCGATGAGGCTGTAAAAGCCGCATATGCTAACAACATTAACATCACAAAAACCAGAGAGAATTATAAAGGATGCTAATGTTTTCAATTACATCCTGTAGTAAAAGTTTTTACGGGGTTCATCCGTATTTTGGAAGCCATGAATTATTTCTGTCCTTTTAGCGACTCTTACGATTTACACGACAATGGAACGATATTTAGAACACAATAGGGCATCGCAGTGAGGATTAAAATAATGAAAGGGAGTGAAATCCGATATATCCAGACTGCACTAGACGCCTTGTATAAAGTGCCCCTTCATTTATTTTTCAGGCGATGCGGGCAGCGGTAAAACAGCTCTGTGTCAAGAGCTAAGTCAACCGGGACAGGGCCCCCAGGCGCGGCAACAGAGGGCTTTGAACAGGAGATTGCTAGCTCGATATTTTTTGCAGGTGAAATGTTTTTGTATATTCGTTTGTACACACGAAATGTGTTTTATTTGTGGGAGACAACAGGTGTATGAAGGATTCATTCCTTTTTTGCCGAATTCCAAAAAGGAGACGGTACTCAATTCGACTGTATGTTTTTTTTTATGTGTTACCTCATAACTTTTTACTGGGTGAACCGATTTCGATGATTCTTTTTTTATATGAAAGCTGATACTTCTCGTGTGGTCTTTCAATTCAATTTTAATTCTTTCTCACTTGATCAAGGTTAGACCAATAGTTTTTGAGTTTTTCTTAATAACTTATATTGAAGTTGGTTGTATAAAATTTTTAATGTTAAATTATTTAAGTAAAATATCTTAGAATTTTTTTTATAGGATAAGGGTGGCAAACGAGCACAGTCCATATGGTGGTAAGTGGTTGCGGCCCCTAGACATCTATATTTATCCTCGATTACGAATCAAAATGCAGATGCGTTGTCACCCCTGAGGACTAAGATGGAATGCCTCGTTCCCAGTAAAGAGTGTCTCCTGTTCTCTACACTCATCACACGAAACACAGCAGCATTAAGCTGCTATTTGCTGCTATTATTCTGTGAGAGCGTGGTCCTTCCCCGGTGGAGTCGACCCATTCGTGCTACAACCATAATATAGCTGCAACGCGGCTCTACTACGTATGTACCGCCTGCACGCAGTGCATACATATTGCTATTGTACTCTATTATATTTGTATATTTGTATACTATATTGTACTAATCTTTAGTGACCGACTGATGCCGAAAAATCATCCAAAAACCGCTAAAAGCAAATTTCGCAGACTGATGATTTAGGTCGTAAGCACGACAGTTGATCATGTGTTCTCAGTTGGTTGGAATCCCAGGTCGGGCCGAAATTAGTTATGGTTTTTTTTGTCAAGAAATTCTCAGTAAAATCCCCGAGTCAGGAAGTTGACAATTTTTATTCCCGTTCTTCATACTGCACATAATACCATTTGTCCTTCAACTGATCTCTCTCCGGTCGTGTCGGATTGACGTTCCATTTTCATCACGCTGAGAAACCGAGCAATAGGTGACTTTTGAGTGTCATAAGGCCACCTGTGAAGGTCATGTTTCGGGTACGTTACTGCCTGTCAACACATACTGCATACGAAGTAAATACAAACAATAAACCTCACAAACCAAGTGGATATGAAAAAGTGTGGGCACAAAAGTCTTTCAATCTTAAATAACAATCACAAATATATACGAATTATAACATTTTGATCTTTGACAAAGTGCTTTAAAATTTATTGTTCTTATATATAAATGTAAGTTTTTCTGTTAGGATTATTCTACTTATCATTCAAGTGGATGAAAGATTTGTAACATCCGGGTCGATGGTACAAATGGGCGTGCCTCAAGGCTCAATTCTCGGCCCCTTTCTGTTTCTTGTATACATTAATGACTTACCTTGCATAGTAGGAGATAACCATGATATAGTATTATTTGCAGATGACACTTCTTTAATTTTCAAATTAAGTCGACAATTGCTAAAATATGACGAAGTAAATAATGCTATATCTAAATTAGTTAATTGGTTCAATGTTAATAATTTGCATGTAAATGGCACTAAAACGAAATGTATGAAATTTATGACTCCAAATGTCAAACAATTAAATACTAGTGTAATTTTAAATGGGGAGAAACTGAGTTTTGTAGATACCACCATTTTTCTTGGATTCACACTAGACGCGAAGCTTCAATGGAGCCCCCATATATCAAAACTAGCAAGCAGACTTAGTTCTGCAGCATATGCCGTAAAAAGATTAGAAGTCTAACTAGTGTTGAAACAGCTAGACTAGTTTACTTTACCTATTTCCATAGCATAATGTCGTATGGTATTTTGCTATGGAGACACGCAGCTGACACTGAAATTATATTTGTTTTACAGAAGAGGGCCATAAGAGCAATTTATGATTTAAAGCCTAAAGAGTCGCTGCGACAAAAATTTAAGGAAATTTATATATTAACTTTGGCCTCTCAATACATTTATGAAAATGTAATATACGTACACAAAAATAAAAGTAGTTTTACAAAAATAAGTGATATTCATTCTGTAAATACTAGGAACAGACACAAGCTAGTAGTACCTGTTACTCGACTCCATCGAGTCTGTAATTCATTTTTGGGGCGATGTATACGCTTTTACAACAAAATTCCAGAAAATATACAAAATTTGACCTGCTCAAAGTTCAAAAACTTTATTAAACTAAGTTTGTATAAAAAGGGTTATTATAATATTAATGAATTTATAGATGATAATAACCCCTGGAAATGAGGTGATCGCCACCAAGCTATTTCTAATTTGTTGTGTTGTTAATTTGTGTAACATACATGATTGTAAGCTGTTATTTAAAAAAAAAAAGTCCCGCTGGGTTTCTTGCTGGTTCTTCCCAGGACAGAGGCTTTTTTTCGAACCAGTGGTAATCATACAAAAGAGTGACTTTCAATAAGTATTATTTATAATTTATATTGAATAAAAAAGTTTCTGTTTCTGTTTCTGTCTATGAACTTTCACATAGATGTACATTTTATCATGAAAAAGGATTTAAATTACTTTTTTTAAAGACCCAGTGCGGGCGGATATAATAGCTAGCTTAAATAAAATTTCGTCCTCAACACTTAAAAATGTAATTCGTTTCAGGGCGATAATGAGAGCAGCCTTCGTCCGGGTGAATTTGTTCGTTCGTTAGCGATGCAGATCCTGAGCCACTCGTCGCGCCGACCTCGGCCAGATTCGGACCGCGACCACTCGCCCAGGGACGACAACACCCCGCTTACCAACAGGTACCGTAACTCCTAATCCCTTGAAAGCTTCACTAAAATAGCCTTTGCTCGAATAAAACAGAGGCTACCACACGTAGGGCTACCAACTCTGATACACCTATTTGTGGGATATCGACAATGCAAATATGGGAGGAGGGTGAAAAATGTGATATTTTAAAACGAATGAGTGTCCATAACAGAATGAAGCATTCATTGGTAAATAAAGCCTTACTTTTCTGTTAGTTCCTACCCTTTAAAGAATTTAAAAAAAGAAACAATTTAATTAAGAAAGAACTTCTTTAAACAATCAAAATTGCAAAACATAAACAAAAATATAATCTAGTAAAGAACCCGAAAGAAATAAAACAAACTTGTTAAAATAAATGTCTTATATTCGTCCTTATATTCAATGATATTTTTGTCGGTCACGCAAATCGCCCTCACGTTCTACCAAACATTATCGTTACAGCATATCAAAAGTCCACCGCTGATCCTAGGCCTGCCCTAGATTAGTGAGTATGGATTTTTACCATTGTTGGAACCATATAAAACACTAATTTCTATATTTTAATGGATGTATACGATTTATCTATTGGTCGATTTCTTTAGGCGTAATTCGGAAGAGGAGCGGTTAATACAACGCTTCCGCGACCTCGGCGATGACGGCGAAGAGAGTTCCAAGCCGCTACTCGCCGATAGTGAAGGTAAGTTTCTTTGTAATTATCTTCATCATCTACTTCAGCTACTAATGGACATCAGCCACTTCAACAAAAATGAAATAAAGGAGAGCTGGCTTTAATGTTTTTGACTTTTCACAGTGCTTTAAATTTTTTTTAATTAAAAACATTACCTCCACTCTAGGATTTTCTCCTGTAACGTGGAGGCAGTTTACAAACATAAAATGCACAAGAACAAACATCCAGACCTGGAACAACTATTTTTAGGTCATACCAATACTTGTTTCGTGCGGGATATGAACCCGTGGCCCCCAGCGCTGGAACTCATTGCTAAGCCACTGCGCCACGGAACCGTCAAATTTTGGGAGAATATTTAGTCTGTTTACCCGTTACTGCGTGTATCGCGGCAATACGGCAAGATTGATTTCAATGAAATTTCGTTATTGTAAAGCGTTAACATTTTTTTTATTTACGTAAAGCTTATACATAATCGCTTGTTTAGATCCAAGGTCTCGTATTGAACTTATTATTCTAAGCTGTGGTGCATTGAAATTTCTAATTGAAGAAAAAACCATGCTTAGAAATTAAGATATAAACATAATCATTTCCGTAAAAGAAGTTACATAAAACTTTATTTTTTTAATTTATGTGATTTCCTATCACAGCAGAACAACGCACGGACGAGGAGGAGTCTGGAAGTGGTCGCCGGACTCGAACCATCGACCGCATCCACGAACGCGACACTTACACCGACTCCATGCCAGCTGACGCTGCACTTAGCCGGTCAGATGATGTAAGCTTCTCTTTATATACCTTCTCATAATAGTATAGCTGAGTCGTGATTGTTCAGGTGCTAAGCTAGAGCCTACGGCTAGAGCCGCAAATATCACAATACGCGAGTGACCTGGGTTTAATCCTCACCGGTATACGGCCACCCCTAGGTAATAGAATGGTCAATTGTGAACCCTGAACCTTGATGGATTCTTTAAGAGGAGAGAAGTTTTACAACTTAGTAGATTTGTATCTGTCACACTATAACGTTACCGAATCTCATTAAAATAACATTCGACGTTAGTTTCATTTTGACCTTTTTAACGTTAGTACGAATTATCGTTACCTTCTTACCGTAAATATAAAAATTATATATGGCTTCGTAGTGTTAACTATCAACGATATAAAAATTTTATAACATTACTTAGATTTACATTTAATACGTTGACTGATTAACGTTATCTTCTATATAACGTATACGTGAATGAAAACTTTGTACCCGTTTTTAAGCACCACCTCCTTGCACGCAGCAAGGAGTTTGAGATTTAGTATAGTTTAAAGTTCATAGGGAGAAAAAGTGCAGAAAGATAAAATTTATATATAACTAGCATTTCGCCTCGGCTTCGCACGGGTAATTTCTGGATCTCAACAACAGAGCCACCTGCCGGGTCCAATTGTGAATCTAAACCATCCAGGAACCCAACCAAACGCACACAAAAATTTCAACAAAATCGCTTGAGCCGTTTTCCAGTTTTAGTGAGACTAACGTACAGCAATTGATTTTTTATAGAGTTACAGATACATTAAATTAAATAAAATTAAACGTTTATTATTTACGATCTTAATGCAAATGCCAATTGACAAACACATTATAATAGTCTATGGTCAAACAGTCGCACAGAGTAAAGGTTGTTGCCAATGAATTGTAATATGTTGCTAACAAAATAATTACTGACAGATTGACCGAAATAGCCGTAAATTTTGTGGGATTTATAATGTTCTTTTTTTAATAGTCTGTGTTGTTTCATTTTCAATAGTATATTTTAATGCAAAAAGAGGTTTTTTTTTTAAATATTTTGTAGATTAAATAATTGTGAGTATATAATTATATTAATGTGAAGTTGAAATTTGAAAACAGCCTGTTTATATTAATATTAATTATTACATTTTTATTATATGTATAGATTTATTAATATTTAACCACTGGGCGACGACTAGTATCATATAACATTATATGTAGTTATAAATATTTCAATACTACATTTATTTGGCATTGGTTATGTTGCCCTATATCATACACTCCAGTGGACATAATTTACATTCCTTGATATTGTTTACAGTTGCCAGAAATCTTGCCCAGATCAAGTGTCATACCAACGAATCCATTCATTAATGAGGAGAACAATCCAGATTTCCGTCTATATGAGAACCACGAGAACCTATTTCTAAGAAACATATCTCAACGGCAGTCCAAAGAACTGAGGAATTCAAGGCTCCTCCGCCAAAGCTCCGAGCCTTTGACGGAAAAGAAGCCCACATTGTTACAGAAGAGTCTCTCAACAGAACAGAAGAATGAGAGCTCCAGTGAGAATGACAGACCCAAAATAGAAAACAGTCCGCCAAAATCTCGAATACCGGTCGCAAATTTTCGCTACCCGAACAAGAGTGATCTGCGACCTAGTTCGAGCGAGAATTCTCCACACAAGCAACGCCTCGATGACAAAAAGGACCGACCGTCTACGCCCAAAGAAAATGTCGAATCGAACGAACTTCCAGAATACCAGAACGTCTTAAAGCCCGATTCGCTAGCATCTGAGGAAGTAAAAAATGATATACAAACTGATATAGAGAAGTTACTGGAAAAGAAGCGATCTGAAAGCGAAGATATGCCTCCACCAATACCAAGTCTGCCGATAAGTCCAAGGACACTGATCGCCAACGCGTATTACGACAAGTTGCTCTCCGAACCGGAGATACAGCAGGCTTTGCTGCCGCAAAATCTCGAGAAGAATCCCGACGAATGTTTCAAGAAGGCTTTGCTGTTTCCGTTACTGGAAATTGATCCGCCAAAGCAGTGTCTGTTTCTTTTAGTTGATGCAATCGATGAGGGGTCTTTTGGTGGTAAGTTTATTATTTATTTTCCCTTAGTTTAATCCTCTTAATCAATCAAGAGAGAAATAAGACCAATTAATGACCTAATGAGTGTTGAACTGGTCTCTACACTATATATTACCCATTACAGACTATCAAAGTCCACTTCTTAAGCCCCGGATACACTAGGGGACATTTTATCCCGCAACATGACTCGGAACACTCAAACTACGGGGCGATGCAACGTTGCACCGTTGCACAGTGACCGGCAACATGGCCCGCAACAACATGACGCGGGACACGTTGCTTGTTCCCGCGCCGAGAGCGAGCGCACGTGTCCCGTCAGTGTCGCAACGTACCTTGCAACATGTCACTAGTGTGAGGAAACGAAACCGTACTTTTACCGTCATGTTTTGTTGTGGGATACTTCAAACCACAAACTTCTGGTACAATTCTACCGATCAGTTGTTTCGACACTCGAAAGACAAGGAAGCATAAGAATCTCCAGTAGACAAGTATCTTAATGCAATGGCAAGTCTGATATGAGGCCCAACAGCGTTCCGGAGTATTGTATCATGTTTGGCTATGGAAGATCCGATCATTTGTAATAAAGTTTCAAAACCAGATGTTGACATTCGAGTAAAATTCACAAAAGATCCATCAGACATTCGCAGATCACTTAAAATATCAATTCTTCTTTGTTCTCGTTGTAGTAAGAAATTCCGCATACATCACCTTGTTCACCGAAATAAGCACTATGTACGCAGCACTAATCGCCACAACATCCTCGGACGACATTTCTATAAGCACTGACTAGTGTTGCCTGCAAAATGTACCGTGACATATCTCTCGGGACATTCGACGTAGTTGTTGAGCAACATGTTACGCAACATAACGCTCCTTTTGTCCTCAAGTATATCCAAGACTTTACCTGTATATTAAGATTCTCTCATAAATTATCTTGTATTGCTTTGAGAATTCTATTTTGGCAGTAGTTTTTTTTTTCATTGGTATTAGGAAGATGCTACTACGTATCTTCGGTTTCAGTTTCTCTCTGTCGTAACTTACGGCACCCACGGGACAAAATGAGGTGATGGATTCGCTTACGCCGCCATTAAAATGCAACCTATTAACTTAGCAGTAACTTAGTTTTCTCTTTCTTATTTAGCAGTCCTTAACCGTAGTTATGTTTTTTTTTTCAGGGCAATCACAAGGTGAGACGTCTGATGATGTAGCTTCGCTGTTGGCTCAACACCAACATCTTCTACCGCATTGGCTGCTCTTAGTATGCACGGCTCGGCGGCATTGTAAAGGACTCACTAAGATGTTTACTGGTACGTGTTTTTAAATGACATTTTAACAAACGATTGTAAATCATCACAAAGTATTTATTAAACATTAATTAAAACAAAACATATATTGATAGAAAACTTGTTTAGTTATTGTATGTATTAACATATGATATCTCGTTATAATTATTATTGTTAATTGTTCACCGTGACATAGTTTTTACATAACATATAAAGTTTTACATTAATAATATAACACCCATAACATTTTTACATAACTTATGTGTAAGACGTCAGTCTTAAAATTTGTAAACAAAAGCAACCCGAGTTAGTATTTAAGTTCTTTTTTACCAAGATTTCTTTCTTATAGAAGAAGGGTGACAAACGTGAACGCAGTCCACATGACACTAAGTAGATGCTGTGGTCTAGCCTCAGTCAGAAATTAAAATGCAGATGCGTTGTCACCCGTGAGGACAAAGATGGAATGCCTCGTTTCCTGTAAAAAGGGTCTCCGGTTCTCTACACTCACCATACGAAACACAGCCGCATTAAGTTGGTATAATGCGCTGATATTCAGTAACTGCTCGACAGTGAAGGAAAAATACATTAAAATAATACTTCAACGACGCCTGAAGTCTGCCCGCATTGGGCAGCGCGATCAAGTTACCTGTCGAAAGACACTAAAAAAAAAAAAGAGGCATGTATCTAGCAACGTAAATAGGCTGATTTACTTTTATACTGTCTGTACATACTGTACTCTACTCTCATTAGCGGACTTAAAAAAAGAGGGAGATTTTTAATTCTATTCCACGTTTTTGATTTTGAAGACTCCTTTTTTATTAAACAAGTTATTCTTCTAGAATTTTTAGAATTGAGAGTGAATAGGCTTTTGTTACGATAAGACAGTGCGATTTACCATCTAAGGCTGCATCACCACTTACCACCTGGATAGTGGTCAAGCACTGGTTTATAATAAGTAAAAATAAAAAAGAATGGCCCTATATAAATATGAAGAAAATGTTTGAAAATGATTTGCATGTAACTATTTAAGCGACGTTGACATTGTGATATTCTTTTGTCCACAAAAACATTAAAGTTTTATAAAAAGTAAAAGGTGACTTCATAGAACTGACAAAAAATAAAACAATTTCACATTCTGAAGTCGGGACTAATTCTTCTATGCACTGTGTCTTAGCACCGATTTCAGAATTTAAAATTAGATTATTCTTTTCACTTCTTCAGAGTCGACTGTTACTTATATCCAAAAAAATCTTCACTTATCCTATTTTTGGCGCTGATTATCAACATGCAATTATATAAAAAGAAAAAATATTATAATGCTTATAATATACAACGTGTCCCAAAATTCAACGATAAGCCAACACCGGAGGATAGACCTGCCCCGGACTAATCGGGTAAAAAAAGAAAAAAAAATATATCCCAATTATATTTTAAGTTATATAAAAAAAATGAAATTCTTCAGAAATTGAGACCGTTTATGATATTTTTCACTACCATGACCACAATTTTTTAAATATTTTTTTCTTTTTTTTTATAGGCAACCTGAATAGTACTGCTATCTACCACAATTCTTAAAAACTCCAGAATAACTCTTGTTTTATCACGAAAATTAATGAAACTTATTTTATTCCCTAAATTTTTTGAAGACTTTTACTTTTAACCAAATTTAACTTATCGTGGTGTAAAAAAAAAGTATGAACACTAGTATGGCAAGTTTTTTTAAAAATTGACGCAACTAACCAATATTCCAAAATGGTATAATACTCTAGGAAAACAAGTTATAAAAAAATATGGGCCTATTATTTCTTAACAGGGGCCAAATTCCTTAAATTGTAATTGTCAGTAATCACTTTTACTACATGCCCAAAATGGGTTCCTGTTACAATTTCTAGGAATTCGAATGGGGCATTAATTCCTTAGATGTTAGAGAGAGATAGATAGATAGAGATATTTACGTTAAAAAGAGACAACAACAGGGCAGGTAGAGAAGCTGTTATTATTCTCAGCAAGTCGGTTCAGTACGCTCTGCTCCTTTGTTTACTGCGCACCGTACCCAATTCAACTTACGTGGCCCTCGTACATACTATCGACTTTTGGCTTGGCTTTTTGGACTGGAATCGACCTGCAAACTTAACTGACCTGGCATTATTTGGACTGGAAGTGATCTGCAAACTGAACTGACCTGGCATTATCTTGGACTACGATTGTGTGTTTTGTGATTTAGAGTTCTGGCGCATTTTGGACTGTTTGGCGTTTAACATGCCGCAACCGTACACACCACAGGAATATGCTAATATTCATTTAATCTATGGATAATGCCGATGTAATGCTAACGCTGCTAGCAGACTGTATCCAGAAAGATACCCAAATGCTCAAAGATATCCTGATTATCGAGTGTTTATTAATGTGCATCAAGCGTTTTCGGAGGGTCGTATGCCATCCAATAGGAGCAGCGCTGGAAGACCTAGATTGGATCGTGATGAATCATCTATGGTCGGATGAAACAACGTGCAAGAAAGATGGGTATTTAAATCTTCACAATCTACATAGTTGGAGTAATGAAAATCCACACTTGATGAGACAAGACAAATCCCAATATCAATTCAAGGTTAACCTATGGACCGGCATATTAAATGGAAAAGTAATTGGGCCCTTTGAGTTACAAGGAAACTTAGATGGCAATAGTTATTTAAACTTTTTACAAAATGACTTGCAAGAATTGTTAAACGACGTGCCCTTAAGTGATCTTCAAAACATGTGGTTCCAAAATGATGGTTGCCCAGCACATTATGCCCGTCCTGTGCGAGAATATTTAAATCAAGAGTATCCAGGGCGTTGGATCGGGCGACTTGGTCCTATCTTATGGCCACCCCGTTCACCCGATTTGAACCCCCTGGACTTCTTCTATTGTGGTTGTCTTAAAAACAGGGTCTACTCAAAACCCATTGTGACATTGGACGAGCTTCGTCGAAATATCACTCAGGCTGCTGATTACATTAATAGCAGAAGATATGCAAGACAAATAAAACGATCATTTTTAAGGCGATGTCGTGCATGTATTAATGCTGGTGGCAAACAGTTCGAACATTTGCTATAATGTTAATAACTTAATAAATTACACGTGAAACTGTTTGTACCATTTGTTTTGAAATATTAAACATTTTTCAAGAAATAATACTTTTATTACACCCGACCGTCATTTGGCCCCTGTTAAGAAATAATAGGCCCATATTTTTTTATAACTTGTTTTCCTAGAGTATTATACCATTTTGGAATATTGGTTAGTTGCGTCAATTTTTAAAAAAACTTGCCATACTAGTGTTCATACTTTTTTTTTACACCACGATAAGTTAAATTTGGTTAAAAGTAAAAGTCTTCAAAAAATTTAGGGAATAAAATAAGTTTCATTAATTTTCGTGATAAAACAAGAGTTATTCTGGAGTTTTTAAGAATTGTGGTAGATAGCAGTACTATTCAGGTTGCCTATAAAAAAAAAAAGAAAAAAATATTTAAAAAATTGTGGTCATGGTAGTGAAAAATATCATAAACGGTCTCAATTTCTGAAGAATTTCATTTTTTTTATATAACTTAAAATATAATTGGGATATATTTTTTTTTTTCTTTTTTTACCCGATTAGTCCGGGGCAGGTCTATCCTCCGGTGTTGGCTTATCGTTGAATTTTGGGACACGTTGTATATATATATAAAAAGAATATATATTATAATGCTTAATAAGAACACAGTTTTCAATAAAGTATTTATGATATGATTTAAATTTGTTACCTGGTTGTTAATTTCTTTACAGGGTTCAGAAAAATTACTTTGGACGAGCTGCAGAGAGCGCACGTGTCAGCTGACGTGCAGCGATATGTCCTAGCGCGACTGGACACCGAACCTAAGTTGCGGTAACTAATATTTTCAAGAATATCTTAAAAAAGTTATCAGACTTGTTCATTTAAACGTACTCTTGTGTGTACTACCAGTGATTTTACGCATGTTTTCTTTTATAATAGAGAGTTGCCACTATATAATCATATTTATATTCCATTATTATTTTAGAATCCACTATATGATAGACGTGGGAAGATGGTAGACAACGTGATTAAGTAAAATCATCACACATAAGACTTCTATCTTAAATTGACGTCGATGAAGAAGTTATTCATTTAAAATATCACTTTGTACCGTGCGAAGTGGCATTTCATAGTACATACGAAGTTTATAGGAAAAATATCTCTCTTGTCTCTTATTAAGGTTCTCAATTGCCTGTTTTTCATATAGGGCGCGGGTGTCAAGTGACTCCACGGCCGCGGCTGCTGCAGCGGCTGCACTAGATCATCTGCGTATCAAAAGCGATGGCTGCTTGCTCTACCTCGAAAAGGTATCATCGATTTAGTACTATGGGAGTAATATTTTTACATGGTAAAACCATACCCCAGATATTTTATGATTAAAGCACGAACGAATCGGCTCGACCAAGGAAGGACCACGCTCTCACAGAAAACCAATGGCTTTACTTTCACATAAGCCAAAAATCCCAACTTTGTTATCTTGCCCTTTTGAGGCGCTCAGTCAAGAAGCTTTAGATTTGTAATGTCAATCATCTCTCTCTCTCTCACGTGTTGGCTTGCAGTAGGGCTTCGTTTGAGGTTATATATCCGTACCCTTGCAATGTATAACATATTGTGTGTTTATACAGAATTAATGTGAGGCGTGAAGCTCGGGAATTCGTACTCAAGGCCAGCACGAATTAAAGCGCTTTGGGCGCGACATCCATCCGCCGTCCGATTGGTTCAGTGGTCGTTCAGTACTTGGTGATTGTTAAACAATCGTGTAATTGTCGAATTAACCTCATATCGCTGCCGTGTAGTGGCGGTGTAACAATATCCACTACACCATATCGTTCCGTGATTGTCATAAGAAGCGACAGAATAAAACAAACCAGGAGACGAGTAGCAGCGTCCTAATCACAACTAAAAAATAAAATAAAAATAAAACTGCGATTGCCAACTTGCCTGCCAAGCGTGGCAAGACGAATATTTCACCTATGCGGAAATCTATGGGGGAGGCCTATGTTCAGCAATGGACTTTTGATAGGATGTAGCAAGAAAACTTGGCTAAGTCTGCTGTTCTATGCGGAGGAAGTTAAATTAAAAGGAAACTTTAAAGTGTATTTCGAGATTTCATTTTTGCAATTTTTTTTTATTTTTTCTTTTATAAGTAAGGGTGACAAACGAGCACACAGTCCACCTGATTGTAAGTGGGTGCTGTGGCCCATAGACATCTATAGTCGTATTTTTAATTAGACGAAGTCAACTGACGTTTACTGTGTTGTCAGTTTTTGATGAAATAAAAATAGTGTTGTGACAAAGTGAATGATTGAAAAACTCCTGAATTAATGAAATTGCCTCGATTGTCTAGTGAATAGTTAGTGTGCTGAACTGCCGATATCGGGTACGGGGTTCGAATTTTAGTCGTGCTTTGTACATACCAACGAGTTTTCGACGACTATGTTCCTATAATATCTACCTATACTGAATACCGAGTGTTTTAAACATTAAGGAAAATATTGCGAGGAAACTTGTAAGACTGTCCTATTTTCAATACATCATGTAGTTGAAACTATAGATGTATAAAATATAACAATTATAGGTAGGTAATGAGAATTAAAAAAATCGCTTATTACATAATTTGTTTTTATTCATTATCAGATAAAAAATCATCACTATCGCTTTCGGTGACATTAATTAAAAATCTGTCAGTAACATTGTCAATCATGTGGTCGAGACCATACATTTTGTCTTCTTTTTTAATTATATGAGACACGCAGCTATTCCATTTTTCAGGTGTGATATGTTGAAGTCCTTCTTCAAAAAGTTTTTTTACTTCTGTCATTTTGAAGGTTTTGTTATTTCTTGCAACATATCCTTTAGCCTGCGCCCATACCAACTCAATGGGATTGAGCTCACAGTGGTATGGGGGCAGACGTAAAACAATTATCCCATGCTGCGCTGCCATCTCGTCCACAACATACTTATCGCAATGTTCTTGCTTGTGCTGCCGTACAATGTCTATAAGAGTAGCTTTAACCATTGTTGCTTCGAATGAAATATTTTTGCTCGTTAGCCGCTCTAGTATTCTAGGTTTAGTCCAAGACATTTTAGGCAGCGATTCTAGTTTCCTGGAGTGGTAGGGGGCATTATCCATCACTACTACGGAATTTGGTTTTAGTTTTGGCAAGACCCCCCTAAACCACTTCTCAAAGGAATCGGCATTCATCTCTTGATGATAATCTTCTTTATTTTTTTTGGCTTCAAATATTAATAAGCTGTCTTCTACGAATCCTTCTTCCCCGCCTATATGGCCGATAATTAATCGTTTGCCCTTTCCTGAAGGCTGTTTTAAGCCAGTGGTCAAGCCATCTAGGAAGGCCTGGCGGGACGATAACACTGTCTGGTCAATCCATGCCTTCTTCGGTGCATGACCTTCAAGATAGTGAAAAATATCAATTAATTATTGAAAGTACAATTTAATGTAAAGAAAACAGAAAATTGTAATTACCTTCGTTGATCCAGGTTTCATCTTGGTAATAAATATACCTTCCTTCCCTTCGATACTCTTTAATTTTTCGAAGGTATCGCTGGCGCCATAGAATAATGTCCTGTCTGTCAATTAAAATGCTGTGTCTTGATTTTGTGACATATTTGAAATTTAAATGTTTCATAACATTTCTTAATGTACTCCAAGAAAAATTGGGTAAGTCTGGGTCTTCATTGACAACCTTAAGAATCTGTAAAGTAATAAAAATATGTTTTGAGTAAGGAAGTCTACGCAATCTAATACTTTGGTTTTACAAAGAATATTATGGTGGACACAGAATATAATGCAGTAGAAGGAATAAAGTTTAAGTTACCTTTATAATGGTGGGTGACTCATTTGCATAAAAAAATTATGTACTTTTCGCCTTATAGCGGCAAAAGTAAAATCGTCTAATTTATCTTTAAAACTGTGTTTCGGTCCACGTTTCTCGGGAGACTTAAATTGTTCATTTTCTTTGCATTCTTTTAACACACTGTAAACTGAGGTCACACCAATTCCCAAAATGTCAGCTGTTTTCGAAACACATTCTTTTTTTTCGGGGGCCTCAATAGGTAATAGTGAAGCAGCTTTTTCCTCAAATACGTGTTTGTAGACGTTTTGTATCATAAGTTTTTCGGTAACGCTTAAAGCAATCCGTGGTCTCTTCTTTCTTGGAGACAAGCTTTGGCTTGACGTGCTTGGTTGAGGATCCATATCATTTGTACGAAACAATATAGCAACAAATAAACACAACAATTACCACAAACACAACGTAACGAAAAACTTAACAAAAACAATAACTAAACAGCGTGAGCGCAGAAAAAACATTCGTGCTATCAGACCAGAGGTTAGAAGCCGAATAACAAACAAAATGGCGACCGACGCGCGCGGCGTTGATCGGTGTTGGCAGTAGTCGCCGCGCCGCGCTTTGTAATAAAACCTCAAAAAACTGATTGTAGTTACATACTACTAGTAACTTATATCAGAGCACTTTTATACAATTTTATTGTAAAATAGAAATAATATTCTTTTATAGTTTGAAATGATTAACTATACACACTCATTGTTCATTCATCTGATTGAACGAGAACTGAACGCATCACTATTACTTTAAATATGGCAACATTATTTTACAAAGTGACATTAGCTACTGTCAGTTGGCTTCGTCTAATTAAAAATACGACTATACATCTATCCTCGATTATGAATCAAAATGCAGATACGTTGTCATCCTCGAGGACTAAAATGGAATGCCTCGTTTCCAGTAAAAAGGGTCTCCGGTTCTCTACACTCACCATACGAAACACGGCAGCGTTAAGCTGCTATTTTACGCTGGTATTTTGTAAGAGCGTGGTCCTTCCCCGGTTGAGCCGACCCATTCGTGTCACAACTATACTAGTAATACAGCTGTAGCATGCCTCGACCACGTCCCGCTTTTGTACGCTATTGACGACTTATATACGTCATTCTGGAAGAGAACTACGCTTTCAATTCCGATCAAAAATATTTAGTCTTATACCGATCTTTTTTCCAAGGTTTTAGACGGCGTGGCAGATGGGTTTATAGCGCTGCGAGAAATACGAGAGATACCGGGCACTTTGAATGGATTGTACCTGTGGCTGGCGCAGAGATTATTCCACGGACGGCGATTCACTAAGGTACATATTTGAAATTAAATTAAATATAAAAATAATGGTATCATTAAATAAAAACGGTTAAAGTTAACGGACTTTTTTATAATATTGAAGTGAGAAACAGCTAACGTGGTACTATGGTAAGTAACTCCGTTCATTTACAGTTTCCTGTAGCCAACTCTAAATAAAAAGAAAACACAGATGTGTTATTAAAAGACGTGAATAATAATTTTATACTTGGTAGAGCCATGCTGCAGCTATATCAGTAGTATAGGAGCACGAATGGGTGCTTAACGCTGCTGTGTTTCACATGGTGATTGCAGACAACCGGCGACCCATTTTACTGGAGACGAGGCATTCCATCTTAGTCGTCACGGTTAACAATGCATCTGCATTATGATTCGTAGTTGAGGATGGATGTAGATGTCTATGGACCACAGCAATTACTTACCATCAGGTGGACTGTGTGCTCGTTTGTCACCCTTTCCTATATGAAAAAATAAGATTAGATAATATTTAATATAAAGGTTTGTAGTGGTGCCGTAAGGGAATTCATTACATCGTATCATCCCGTGAGTTTCGTAAGAGGCGACAAAGGAAAACTTAAACAGCAGCAGCCTCCTGGTAACTCAAATATTAAAATACTAGCTGTTCCACGCGACTTCGTCCGCGTGTAATTTAGGGTTTTAATTATGTTGCGTGGAACTCTAATTATTTTTCTAAAATATAAGTTGCCTAAGTAATAAGAAGTATCTTATAACATCAGCTATCTGCCAGTGAAAGTCCCGTGAAAATCGGTCCAGCCGTTTTGGAGATTAGCTGGAATAAATAGCCAGACAGACAAAATTTTTAAAAATTATGTTTTATAACATTATATAACGTTATTATAACAATATAAAAACCTTGTATGCTTTCATATGCATTTAGTAAAAAGCTGTTATTTAGACATTACAAACTGTTATTTTATTCATTTGTATAAATGCGTTTGCTAACCCACCTGCCGAGCATAGCAACTACGACAAATATATAATAAGCTCTTACGCAGCTGAGTATAGGCCTTCTTTCATTTCTGAAGACTTCTACCATATACTAGAGATATGCTACTCAACAATACTTAAATAAAATGTACAATTGAATGTATTACCTTTATCTTTTATAAAGTATCATTGTTAAAGAAAAATATTCTCTATCAGGTTCGTCTGTTACTGGATGTACTGTTAGCGGCCCGATGCGGTGTCACAGAGGAGATGCTTTACAAATGTCTCCTCACCAAAGAATACAGTGTCACTAGAGAAGACTTCAATCGTCGCCTACATTTATTGCGAAGGTCGGTGTATTATGTGGATATCTTACTCGACTTGTATTACTTATGCTTATGCTGTGGCCCACAGATATAACCTACACTTGTCCTTGATTGAGAACCAAAATGCAAGTGTGTTGTTAAGCAGAATGATGGATATATGGGCGTGATTCTTCGAGCCGACCCGTTACTGCAGTAATAATACTACAACGTGACTACAACGTAAAGTGAATGTATTTACGATTTTAGCGCTAATTACCTACTTAGGTATAAAGGAAAATTTCATGGAAAAAAGTTCAAGTCTGATATTTTAAAAGCTTAAAGTTGTTATTAAACATTAATAAGTGCTACTGGGCAGACATACCGGTGGTGGAATTTACACAGAAATGAGGGTGACAAACGGACACTTAGTCCGGATACCCCGTATCGTCCCGTGGATGTCGTAAAAGGTGACAGAGGGAAACAAACTAGGCGATTGGCAGCAGCGTCTTTCTAGTAACAACGAAAAAATAAACAAAAACTGGGGCTGCCAACCCGCTCATCTATGCAGATCCGTAAAGACATTGGGACCTCAAACATACGTGCTGAGACCATATGTGCTGAAGTTAATAAAACTCAATACAATCCGTAAAAACTAGTTTCATTCACTCACTCCTAGCTGTACAAAATTTGCAACTGATTCGTTCAATTTTCATTTCATTTTTCTTTTTCTCTATTTTGTCATGAAGTAGTAACCACGAGCTGTCATCACTAAATCGTATTAAATATCGACGCGTAATTGTAAAAATGTATCACTCGTAGGATCCTGGTGATGGAGCGGTCGACGGGGTTCCTGTCGATCTTCCACCACTCGTTCGCCAAGTGGCTGCTGGACGTGAAGCACTGCACGCGCCGCTACCTGTGCTGCCCGGCCGACGGCCACGCCGCGCTCGCCATGTACTACACGCTCGACGCGAGAAGGTCAACTGCCACATCTGCCACTTAGTCCATACTGTCTTATCTGCCACCCGCCATCAAACCACATCATCTCAAGTGCCACCTTTCCACATATGTCATATGAACAACATTCGTCATAATAACCGCCATCCAACAACATTATACATCATATCAAGCCTTTTTAAGCCTAATCATGTGTATTAGGCCTTTCTGTATATTCATTACGCTGTCAGCTTGTTGAGCGCAGAGCTGACTTCCTTGCGCTGGTAATGCTACTCTCCTTTTTCTTTTTCATTATTATCCCTTTTAAGTCGACTATAGGACATGGGCCTCTGCCATTACAGGAAGGATTTGCTATAATCACTACGCTTGACAGGTGGTTTAGCCACCACAGTACCAGACGTCAAAAGGTGTTATTTTATGCTGCTGCCCGTTGCTTGTCTGAGCATGCGAGCTTTCTGGCATATATTTTCTAAATTTGTCTTATTTGTGAAGGCACTTGCGTCTCGTTCGCCAATCAGTAAAGCGTAATGGTGATTTTTATTTTAACTTTCTGTTCTAATGTGTCATAGCATCGAAGGTATGCACCGTTCTCGTTATCAGATTCAACTTTGTTATTTTTAGTTAGTGTACATAACATGTTAAAAGCTTCACTTTAAAATCGTAATTTATGGTGAAATAAAATGACTATTTTTTTATAGAATAATCTTGACAAACGACCCTAAATTCCACCTGATGATAAGTGAGTGCCATGGTGAATCTACAACTATCCTCGATTAAGAAACCAAATACAGATGCTTTGTCATTCCTGAATCTTAAGGTGACACTAGTCGACATTATTTCCATAGAAATTTCGGAGGGGTTTTACTCCGCTGTTTGACAGTGTACATCCAAAATTAAACATGATATCGTTTTGTCTCATTATTAAATTTGTCTGTACGGAAACAGAATAGTAAAATAAAATGTTATTAAAAAGTTACGAGCTACCAAAGATTCGTTTTTATTGCCAATTTTAACACAACTTTGGGCGTAAATTAGTAATAAAAGAAGTGTAAAATTTCCAAAACAAAGTCGGTACCGACACAGATAAATTATCGAAGAACTCAATAAATTTTATTTGTAATTGATTAATGCAGTGGTTTTTTCATAAAACCCCTTCTTCCAAAGGCCTTTTCGTATTTTTTTACGCGCGCATGTTACTATGAATTATCGTGCATCTCACTGAATAATGTCTCCCCCGGTGCGGTGCGGGAGGACGATGCTTACACACACATGCACAGGCGGTGACGCGCGCTTATAAGTATTCGAGTTTTATTCGAAACGAAAAGTTTTGCTATTTTGTAATTTGGACGCCAAAGACAAAAGACGGCATGGAAATTGATATAATTGAAAGAGATGATGCGTTTTGGACGACAGACAATATTTTAAAATTTTCGTCTGTAATATAATATAATTATAAAAGTAAAAAAAGTAAAGTCTATATTCGATTACTATATAAAATTGCAACAATTTCATTGGTGCCGACGGGGATCGAACCCGGGTTGCTCGCGTAATGTGATACTTACAGCGAGCGCTAACCATCTGAGCTACCACGGCTCTCAATGCAAGTGTTATAAATAAATAAAGAATTACAAAACAGTTTAATTATTTATTAGACGACTTTTGCGGCGGATAAACAAAGTATATTATGTGGGATTTTCATAGGTACCTACTGTTATTACCTAGATACCTACAATCAACAATACAACAAAATGTCACATAACCTCGCCGCGTCGTGGCCACAAAATTGTAAACTTTAGGTAGGTACGTCGGTACTAAGAAAACAATCTTGATGGGTCACTTGTCTTGATAAAAACCTGTGTTTACGTTTAGTGATATTGAGTATATATAAAAAAATAAGAAGCCAGGTAAGTAAGTATTTTTGAAAACAATTTATAGGTAGGCAGACCAATTACGATTATTATCTAAATATTATAAATGCGAAAGTTTGGATATTTGGATGGACGGATGAATGGATGTATGTTACTCAATCACGCCAGAACGGCTGAAGGGATCTGGATGATATTTTGCTCAGAGATAGGCTATAGTCCGGAATTCTTTTTTTCAAAAAAACGTTACCCCACACTAGGATTTTCTCCTGTATCGTGGAGGCAGTTTACAAACATCCAGACCCGGAACAATTATTTGTAGACCATACAAATACTTGTTCGATTGATTCGAACCCGCGGCTCCCAGTACAACAATTCATTGCTAAGCCACTGCGCCACGGAGCTGCCAAATATCATATATGATACCGTTTATCAGGTATTTCGTTGCCGTGGGATAATTATCGAGTTACACACGTTCGAAGCCGAACTCTTGAGTGATTGCTGCATGACCACTCGGGGAAAACTAAACATAATAAAATAAGCAATCTATATTAGGTATATAGAGCCACAGACGTATACCTAATAATTTCGTGGATTCACCCGCGTCATCACGTGTCCGAGATGCGTGGCATGACATGACACCTAGTTCAAGAATTTTATAATTGCAATCAAATATTTTATTTGATTGTAATGTATGGAAAAATTGTCATGATTAATGGAGTACTTTTATTTTATCTGTCGGCATATTATGCGCGGTTTTTTCCAGTTTTAAAGAAAAACGTACACGATTCATGAAAAGTGTGTAGGCAAGAAATGATTCTTGATAAATTTGCTATCAACCTCTTATACTTATTAATTAATTAAATTTAAACTTTCAAAATACCATAGCAACGTGAAATGAAAGAGTTCAGAAATAAAGATGTAACTAATCATTGCTACGCTCACCCGGGAGATAGATAAAAGTACTCAATTAATTTTGAATTTATTTTAGCTACTAGCTGTACCCCGCGACTTCGTCCGCGTTTAGTTTAGGGCGTTAATATTGTTGCAAAGACACCTAATAATTTTTCTAAAATTTAAGCAGGCTAAGTTACTTCTTATAACATGAGCTATCTACTAGTGAAAGTCCCGCCCAAGTCGGTCCAGCCGTTTTGGAAATTAACCGCAACAAACAGACTGACAGACATACAAAAATGTTAAAAATTGTGTTAATGTTATAAGTACCGTATACAGTTTCATACGCAATTAGTAAAAAGCTGTTATTTTGACATTACAAACAGACACTTCAATTTTATTTATTTGTGTATATATAGATAACGATTGAACTAACGGCTAACCTAACCTCGCTCATAGAAGCTTTCAATACTGGCTTCTCAGTTCGCACCGGGCTAGGGGTTATGCGTTGTTCGCGCGTCAAGCCAAGTAGGTATTGAATTATTTTAATTTTACATTATCTCTTAAACTATGTACTATATAAACATGGTATAAAGAACGAAGTTTATCTTCATAAAATTGTCTTGATAATGAAGTAACTTTGGTTCGTAAGGTGCCTAATAATTAAATTTTCATTTTTTTTGTCACAAAATGCCTAATTGTGGCTTATATATAAGAAATAGACATATGGTATCGCGGACTTTTTTTAGACGGAGTAAAGATCTATATTTTTCTAGAACATTGTATTTACGTATCCCGAACCATAACAGCGCTTTTTCTTCTGACTTCCTTAACAAATATAGGCTAGCTGAGATATATAGCCTAATGCTGTATAGCCTATACTATTCAACATGAATCTGGCTATAAGTAATATCCAAAAAAAGATTTTTCTAATCGGACTGGTAGTTCCAGAGATTAGCACGTTTAAACAAACAAAAACCCTCTTCTGCTTTATTATATTAGTATAGATGTTGCATCGTGTTCGTGTAACTTCGTTTTTATTCTAACGGTTCGGAACACCGTACGAACAAGACATGCGTGAATACTAGTGTCGATATGCTCATCACTGATACTATCTCTGTCGGGCACGATGCCAGGTGAGACAGCGTGCTTTTTGGCCGCGCCCACCAGCGAGTTCGAGCCCGCGACTTGTGCCACCTTAAGATGAAATGCCTTGTTCCTAGTAAAACAGGTATCCGGTTCTCTACACTCACCATAGGAAACATAGCAGCATTAAACTGCTATTTTACGCTGGTATTCTGTAAGAGCGTGGTACTGCCCCGGTCGAGTTAACCCATTCGTCCTACAACCCTAATACAGGGTTATTTTTCAAAGTGTAGCCAAATTTTAAATTTAGGTTCTATAATATAAATAATGATATACCGTTATTGCAGTTTTGGAAAATACGAATAAATAAGGCTTCCACTTTTATTTGAAATTATCCCAAACTAAATGTGATTTTTGGGAAACAACTATGCGTACGCATGCTCCTCTGTGTGAAATCAACTCACACAACGTTTTTGCCGACCGAGCGTCCCTTACGAATGTGTGCGTGCGTAGTAAAATAGTAGGCGTTAGATATTTATGAATGACAATCAGTTAAAATAATGCTTTACTACGCATTTTGAATTTAAAAGTTAAAAAGAAGAGAATGTTTGAGATTTTTTTTTATTAAGTTTTCTTCTCCATTTTACATACATACGTACTATACATATTAATTATTCTGAACCTTCTCTGCAAATTTGGCCGGTTATTGCAAAATGACCCTGTATGGCTGCAGCATGACTCTACTACGAGTATAATACTATAAAATGATAAGTGATAATAATAAATAATATTAAAGAATTCATAAAATTTCATAGTCCTGTATGTAGAATAACATAAATGTTGCATACAACGCGGAACCGTTTTCTTATAATAGTTAAAATTGTTGTAGGTTAAGCGCATTGGAGATTCATAACTACGTTTATCATATGACGCATTTGGAGCAACATATGGCTGCGCAAAAGAAAATCAAACCAGGGTGAGATATATTAGTTTTTTATTAAAACTGAAGTGATTAAGGATCATACAGACCTGATAGTAAGTGATTACTTCAGGGTGCAGGCCATGGATACCTGCAACTTCAAATAAAGGAAGGTACAAAAATGTCTTGTCATTTCTGAGAACTAAGATGGAATGCCTCAAAGTTACTTTAATGTGTCTGTAAATGATATAAGAAGGCTATTGAAGCACAGTGATAACTTCAACTATTATTACTCAAAAACATCAAGTAATAACGAGTGAGTGTGACTGTGTCTCCACGTAAGCTTGTGCCACATTAATACGTCCTGCTCAGTGCATTAACGCTCACGCAGTTTGCGAATTGTTTTACACATACAGCTTGTATAGGTCTCACTGATGGTACAGGGTTGTGGTGCACTTAGTTTGCTTTGCTACGTTACAGCTTGTGTTGAAGGACTGGATGTCGCATGTTTTCGAATTATTTTTATTTTTGTAACCCGCAGGCTCCTTCAAGATATTTTCTTCACCGATAAACACGTGGTAAATTAGCACTTATAATTTCATTGGTGTCGGCAGCAATTAAGAGTTTCATTGGTGTAGGCGAGATCGAAGCCAGATTTTTTATAGAATCAGGGTGACAAGCGAGCACACAGCCCACCTGATGGTAAATGTATGCTGTGGCCCATAGACACATCCATCCCCGTTATCTACATTCACCATACGAAACACAAGCATTAAAGTTATTGTAGCTATTTTACGCTAGTATCTTGTGAGAGCGTAGTACTCTCGCGGTCGAGCCGACCCATTCGTGCTACAACTATTGATATAGCTGAAGCATGGCCCTGCTACGCACAAAACACGGGTTGCTTGCGTACTTAGAAATTTACAGCTTAACTCCTAAGCTACCACGACGAATTGTGGCCTTTAATATAAAAACGTAAAAAATAATATGTTGAGATTGTGTTGCAGTTTATATATACAGTTACATTACATTTCGTTTGAAATTTTTTACAATAATAATATATTTTAGCGATCAAGAAGACGTGCTGGACCTCCATACGTTAATTCTTCTCTGGGTTCTGGATTCCGGTTGCGATGTGGAGTCAGCTTTGAAGAGAGAGATTGAAACTGTGAGGCAAATTGAGCGCACTGATTCCCAGGTGAGGGAGGACATTCATTTTCATGTCGCAGCCAGATGGTTTAATTAGCCATTTAATTAAACACACACAAACACTCACGCCTGTCAACCAGAGGGGTAGGCAGAGACTACGGACTTCCATTTGGCGCGATCCTGACACACCTCTCTCGCCTCCTTTACATCCATATATCTACGCATACACGCTCGTCGGTTAAGGGTTTGCCATAGTTGCCATGTCTGGCAGGTGGGTTGCTAACCGCTGCTCTGTGCGCTCATCTCCAGTTTTTTTCCTCTGTCGTTCTCTTATGAAACCCACTGGACGATATGAGGTAGTGGTTATTGTTATACCGCTACTACACGGTTTATAATTTTTTTATTCCTTAAAGCCGCCGCGGAAGCGTAAAACTTTTGCTAATAGAAATGTTATTTATTATTTACTACTTCAGCTATTTTGGCTCAGTGATCCTAACAGTGGCCTACACCACATTTTCTACCGACTTCAAAAAGGAGACGGTGCTCAATTCGACTGTATGTTTTTTTATGTGTGTTACCTCATAACTTTACTGGGTGAACTGATTTCGATGATTCGTTTTTTATTTGAAAGCTGGTGCTTCACATGTGGTACTATATACATTTGATTAAGGTCTGACCAATATTTTTGAGTTATTCTTAATAATTTATATTGAAGTCTGTTGTACAACATTTTTAATTTTAAATTATTAAAAGATTATTTTTACTACTAACAGATTTACTTTGATTTTTATTTCATTTTATTTCACATTATTAAAATATACATGTTACATGATTTTTCCAGAATAATGAAATAAAACCAGATGATAAGGAAATTGATCCGGAATCAGAAGGCAAAGAATCAATATCAGGTAAGTAAATAATAGCTCGTTTACTATTTTTTTTTCTTATCATTAATAGTACAGTCTTCAATCAAGATTCTCCCATGTCATGTTAGGCGAAGATAGGTCCCAAGATGAATAAAGACATATATCGGTCAAGTATAATTTATATTTAAACAATTATTCTAATAAAGGGCTATAAAAGTTGATTCTTGATTAAAAATCTCAGCAATATTACCAGCGATCATTTTGCTGTATTGTTATTGTGAAACACCTTGCAGAGTATGTTCAACTAAAGCAACATTGAGGCTACAGGCTAAGCAACATTGCGCTGCGCTGCGCGATATATTCGGCAACGGCTCGACTGTTTTTTTATATGTAGCAAAGTGATTTAAATATTGATATACATATCGACACCAGGCAAATACCGATAATCCTGATATCGAACATTTTTTTTATTGTTATTGATATTTTATGAATTAAAGAAAAATAATGAAGCACATTTGAAATCAACTTGTATTTATTAAAAGAAAACTACGTCTGCCAAATTTAGTATCTTTTGCACTTTGCTCAGCCTCTTGCCATGAAGTCTATTCCTGATCGGAATAAAGCGAAGTACACACAGACGAAGCAACCACAAGCAAGATAATATCGTATCAGATCGGGTATTTTGTAAATATCGATAATTTAGGTTCGATATTATGATATTATCGGAAGGGCGATATATCGTTGCAACCCTAGTTGTGATTCAGACTCGGAACGATTTGTAATGGCAGCTCTTCACGTTGGCCAACATTGTGGCGGATGTTGTGGCAAAGATATTAGCCAAGACCTTGTGATGGCGTCTATACATTGGAAGGTCGTTCAGTTTGCTTCGGTTCGGGCCAATGTATGGACGGATTTATTAAAATGGATATTGAGGCGCTAATGTCTGTTGCGGTTTATTTATTCACAGCATACCGCTACTAGGTGAATGTGTAAGAAAAGATATGGAAAAAAAGAAATTTTATTTCTTGGGTTCCACAAACAATTTTCGGCATGGTAGAGCTCTATACGTACAAGAGAGCACACAAAATATGAAAAATACGTCGTTACTGCACTGTAATATAAACAATTTAAAAGTTAATACTAGTGAAAAAATAAAAAATTTTATTGGAAAAAACGATTACGATAAGAAAATTACAGCTGCAAACCTACACAGATTAGTAAAACAGTTTATTAAACATGACATAATTGTAGTAAATATATTGTCGAACAAGTAGTTGAATGTAATTGACTTGAACCACAGTATAAATCGAATTTGTAATAAATATCAAAACTGCCACTATATCAACTGTAACTCTAGTAATGTTTTTCAGTTAGCTAAGTATATTAATTATGTGATTGACTGTGTCGATTATGAACGCAATTATCTCAAACCTAAACAGCTGAGAAAATTTATAGTGCGCGGTATGCCTAAAATGCAAAATATTCAGGTAGAACCCACAAAAGGAACCATTCCACATTTCTTTTCTCGAGCCCTACCAAGGAATAATAGCTCTAACGATACTGCTATTACCAAGTCATCGCGATTTAATCAAACTACTTAACCTCAGTTTCTCCCACGAATATATAAAAACAATTCCTTTCGCGCCTCAAGGCAATAAAACCCAAAATCATTTCAATATATTGCACCCAAACATTGCCAGTATAATAGCAAAGCAAGATATTCTGGGAATCACTTTAGAGGAACTAAACAAATCTGATAATGAGCCGGATTTCATATATCTCTCTGAAACCTTTTTGAAAACAGGCAACGAAAAATATATAAATATTAATAATTATGAGTTGGCAACAGCCTTCTGTAGAGATAAGCAGTGGGGTGGCACATGTATCTTAGGGAAAAAAAGAACAGTACTTACCGGGAAATTACAAAACTAAAAGCGTATGCGACCCAAAAGACTTTCGAGGTTTGTGGAATTGAAATATCTCTGCATAAATTAATAGTTATATGTATCTATCGTACATCCAAATCAGACCCTAAAGTCTTCCTACATAAACTAGACCAACTATTATTTGACCATAAAGAGCAATGGCAGAAAAATAGTTGACAAAAATTATAGCGTCTAGAAATAAGTTATATATAAAATGAGTTTTACTATATTTCTATGATTTTTCAAATAAAAATGTATTTTAATTAAAGCCGCAGAAAAAACAAACATTTTTGGGAATATGAAATGACTTAAATCATTTTACTCTATTCAAATGTTGCCATTTAGTATATTCATACTATTTTCGTACATACTTTGTAAGACTACCAACACAACACACAAAATATTTTTATATTAAGTTATTATTAGTAATAATATTATGAGAATAAGTCTCTTACAAAGAATTTCCTACAATAATGCATTATCTCAATCATAGAACTATATAACAATTCCATTTAATGTTATGCCAACACTAGCTAAAATAAAATGTCACTGTTTTTTCTTACTGACTTTACGGCTCTGGGTTCTAGCCCTTTTGAGAATGTCACTATGACACAAAAGCCCTGGAGCCTTGCCAGAAATATATATTTATAGTATGCAAATATATAATAGAGATACAATAATCTAAAACTCTCAATTATGTATTATGTATTAAGCTAACATCAAACAACCATAGGAAGCATGACTTTTTACAAGTGTCATAGGACATAACCTAATAAGGTTCAAATGTAAATATCTTTTTTTTGACGCCTTCTCAGTACAAAATTCTTTGACAGAGTTATTAAGGGACTGACGCTTAACATTTTAAGATATTTTTAATATATAGACGCTACCATTTCTTCTCAACTAATTTTATGTATGAAAGTCTGCCATTGCTCTTTGAAAGCATAAACATGATACCAAAATTGTCTTGACTGGTGACTTTAACATCAACACTTTAAAAAAAGGTAATATTGCAAACTTTTTTAGTGATTTATGTCGTAATTATAATCTGAACATACATATTAATGTACCAACTCGCAAAGATTCATGTATTGACCATGTCCTTAGCAATATCAAAGACGCTACTGCCAAAGTGATTCCCCTATATTTATCGGATCATGACACCGCACAGCTTTTAAGTTTTCCAGTTCGTCAATCTTTTAAACCAAGGTCATTTACTATATTGAGAAAGGACTACAGTTATGAAAACATCCGCAAATTCAGGGAGTGTCTAGACAGTATGACTTGGAGCAAAATTTACTCGAACACTAATCTCAACACGGCATTCGCAGAGTTTCATTTTGAACTTTGTTTATTCTACAACCTATGTTTCCCTGTCAAAAAAAATTTTGGGTCAATAATTCTAATACACATAAACCAAAACCGGTTATTACGTTTCAGATACTATAAAAGTCAAACGGAAAATAATAAAAATGAATATTTAAGGTACTCCAAAATTCTAAGACAATGCATTGACAATTCAAAAAAGAATTCTAATATGAAATTTATTAATAATAATAAAAATAAATGTAAAGCGACATGGATAATAATAAAAAATGAAATCTGTTATTCCAAAGTAGATGATAACATTTCTGAAATAATTTTGACCATAAGATATTGATCAATCCTTTTGACATAGCTGCGGCTTTCAATAATTATTTAATTGAATTGACTAATTTTAAAGATGCTACAATGACTAATATACAACAAAATCAAAATACCAAGATTATGCCAAATTCAATGTTTCTTCTTCCAATAAATGAAGATGAAGTTAAAAAAGAAATTATTAGCCTAAACAATATTAACTCCGAGGGTTTTGACGGAATCTGTACGACAATTATTAAAGAATGTACTAAAGAGCTTGTGCCCATCTTAAGACACCTTATAAACCTCTCATTCTCAATGGGTATTTTTCCTGAGTTGCTGAAGCAATCTATCGTCAAGCCTCTGCCCAAAAAAATTGCAAAAGATGAGGTCAGCAACTATCGGTCCATTACTTTAATTCCAATCCTATCTAAGATATTTGAGAAATACATGCATCAAAGAATAATGAACTACTGTATCACGTATAATATTATTAATAAAGAACAGTTTGGATTTCAAAAGGAAAAGTCCACAACATTAGCAATCTTCACTCTAGTTAAAACAATATTAAATAATTTAAATGACGGATATTTGACCACATGACTATTTTTGATATGTCAAAGGCTTTTGATTTTGTTGATCACTAACTTTTATTAAATAAATTAGAATCAATAGGAATAAGAGAACCCAATTATCGGTGGCTAAAATCCTTTTTAAACAACCGAAGTCAACGCGTAGTAGTCAGCAAGTCAATAGACGGCGAAGTTATATCTTACGCTTCCGAATCAAAAATTGTTGAGTGTAGTATCCCCCAAGGAAGTGTGCTAGGGCCTCTAATGTTTATCTTATATATTAACGATATAACGGTAGTGACAAATCATAAATGTATTTTGTTCGCCGATGATCTATCTATTATTGTGACATCTGATAAAAACAATATACACGATCACGAAATTGATATAAATAAAAGAATTGACAACGTTATTATATGGCTAAACGTAAACAATTTAAAACTAAATCTCAATAAATCACATTTTATCCAATTTAATCAATCCAAACATAAACAATTAAATTTTAAGCTAAATATTAATAAAATAAAGGAAATAAGGTCTACCAAGTTTCTGGGAGTAGTCATAGACCAGGACCTAAACTGGAAATTACATATCGGTCTTTGTGTAATCGTATTAATAGTTTTGTATATGCCCTTAACAAAATGAGAAAAGTGACAAACTTACAAACGGCTCTTATTACATACCACGCGTATAGCTTCCATTTTGCGCTACGGGATAACAATATGGGGAAATAGCACAAATATAGAAAAGGCGTTTATAGCTCAATAAAGTGTATTAGAGCTATCTCTGGAATACCGCCTTGCATATCCTGTAGAACATCTTTTGCAAATCTCAACATACTTCCGCTATCGGCACTATATATTTTTGAAATAAGTTGTTTCGTGAAGAGAAATATCAATTTGTTTATGAAAGCAAGTGACATGAACACAAGATTGAAGCGAAATCCTAATAGACTTGTGTTAGACGTTATCCCAAGGTCAAATACAATAAAAGTTGCCTAAAAATGTGTTTAACGATATATAATATAATTCCTAATGACATCAAAAATTTAAATATTAATCAATTTAAATCAAAATTATTTAAGTGGCTCATTGACTGAAAAATATATGACATTAAAGACTATTGACATCAATCCTTATTAATTTTATATGACATATTTTAATTTATCTTTAATTCAATGTAAGTTATTGTAATGAGACTTAAACTTTGTGATATTATTTTTATGTTTATACTTGAAAGATAATAATATTAATTTTGCATGCTATTTGTAATAGCGAGACATGTGCACCTTTTTAACATGTACCACCTTTTATACCATGTTCTTACGCAAATAAAAATTCTGATGAAAAGTTTCTTTGGTCATTGTTACTGCCATTTTGTAGACACTAGTTCCGACTCGTGAATATAAAATTTAAATAAGGTGCGTGCGATCACTCTGGGAGCTCGTAGCAAAGTAAACGCTAAATCTTTTGTAAAAAACCGACACCACACGGATGTCGCACCAACTTGTGAGCCATCATTCCGATACATACCAAGGTAAGCACTAACACCCGCCCTACATGATGGCATAGGTATAGACCACAACATTCGCCACATTGTTGGCCAACGTGAAAAGCCGCCTTAAAGTATACGTGCTGGTGTGGATATAGAACCTGCGGCTTACAGCGCAACAACTTATCCTGGCCTAGCAAAACGTTTAGCCACTGCCGCGATGAGTTGTCGGTTCACTTTTAAATTGAAATCGTTTGTTACCGTTATAACCTATCATAATTCCACTGTTATACTTAGACCTCCTCATAAATTGCCTTATAGGGTTCTTTCCTGCCTTATTTCTTCTAGTTGTTATAAGGAAGACGCTGCTGCCCATGTAGATTGTTTTCCTCTGTCGCCTCTTACGACACCCACGTGACGTAGTGGATATTCTTACACCACCATTACATGGTCGGACATCGTTTGCTAGCGCTAACGCGTTCATTTATGAACTGAAATATTTCTAGCAAAATTTTAAGCTACATAAATAAAATTATAGAGTTTTACAGTTGTGCGCGCATCACGGAAAAACTACTGGATAGATTTCAATTATGTTTTCTAAGTTTTATTTCTCAGACACTTGGCCCTTATCGAAAAAAAATATTGCTTTATCTTCATTTAATATAAAGTTATTGAAGTTTTAAGAAACAACGATTTTTATAAGCTCTACTAGTTCAGAGTAAGCAACGCGGAAGAAGACGCGGGTATCACCTATTAAAGTAAATGAAAGTCGTAGCTGATTACAGTCAGCAGAAGTTTATATTTAAAATGTACACTGGATTTGAATATGTTTTATGTATTTCCCTGCTTACATATTTCTGACGAAGTTTCATGGAAATTCAATTAAATAATAAATAAATTATCTTAATGAAAAGGGAATATCCCAAAGAAGACAACATAAACAAACAAAACTTCCTGCTTCTCTGTGCCTTATGTTTTACATAAGGGTAAATTAATTTGCGGTTAAAATGTAATTATTTATAGCACACACGTTATATTTATCTATACATATAAATAAAATTGAATTGTCTGTCTGTAATATCGAAATAAGTGCAGCTCTATATAAGAGATGTGGCATAATATATTTGCATGCCATTATGACATGAAAAAATATTTTTAAAAGTTTTGTCTGTTTGTCTGTCTCTTATTGCTAACCTGACTACCTCCGTGAGAAGTCGCATTCGCGACGAATTCCACAGTCAACATTAAATTTGAGTCGAATTATAACATAATTAATTTTCGACCTTATCATTATGATTTATGTTATTAATTATCGTTACGATTTTTACTTTCAAATCTTTGCACACGATTAAGTGGAACTGAGAAAGAAATAATTTTATTATTTGCTCATTATTATTCACAATGTTATCTCTGAAATATAACTGACCTAATGTATTTCCCTTTAATTCTGATTATGTATGTTAGCCCTAATTACCTTATCGTATCCTGTCATATGAGTGACCGATTTAAAACATTTTCAACCATATTCTAGTAGTGTTAAGGTTAAGATTTGATAGGAATAGTTGTTTTATGAAAATATGTGTGAAATTATTGTTTTAGAATTAGTATTTAACAAGTCATTTTCGAAATGAGTCGTGTTTAAGTTTTAATATACCGGAGGAATTAGTGACGAAGTAATATTAATTAATTAACAAAAAAGATTATGTATTTTGTTTGTATATTCTCAAAGAAGCAAAAAAAGTGATAATAGTGAAACTGGTGAGACTAAACAGCACAGACAGAACGGTTTTAAAAAAAATCTTATGTGTATTCATCACGTATGTATTTTATATCATACATTAAATAAATAACTAATATACAATAAATAATTATTAACTAGTCCTTTCCTTGAGGGACGCCTATCTTCATTGTGAAGGGCTATAATGATGATGATGATGATAACACGTATAATATTTTATGGATAGATCTTAAACAGTCTTAATTGCTATCTTTGAATTACAATCTATCCCTAGTTTAATTTTTTACCAGCAATCCAAACAAGAACTGCCGGCCTCCTATGCATATAAATAAAATTGAAGTGGATATCTATATTATAGAAATAACTGACTTCTATTAAACCAAGGTTGTTATTTGTATGTCAATATGATATAAAAAGCCTTTTTTAATTTAGTCTGTCTGTCCGGGCTAATCTATGTAATGGCTGAACCGATTGTGATGAAACTTTACGAATAGATAGAGAACAATATCAAGAGATATCTAGGCTATATTTTATACGAAAACTATGATTCATTAAAAAAAAATATCTCTACATGAATAGATCCTATCCGGACAAAGTCACGAAAGTAACGATTTACCAAAACAATATATAAAATAATAGGAAATAATAAATAAAAAAAGTAGAAATAAGCGCTGAATACAAATTCACGAACTGGTAATAAATATTTCGTGTAACCAATGCGTGGGTTTCACTTTACGATCACTCTAATCTAGTGAGAATGAGAGAATCTTACATGATTAGCGCATTATTGTAAAGAAGCTTAAATTCAGCAGTGGGCTTATAAAGGCTGTTAATGTATGATGTAATGTGAAGAAACATATAAGACAAATGAAAATGTGTGCTACCAACATAAATCGATTACAACATCACCTGCAGGTATTACTCACAAACAACTGAAAAAATTATTGATCTGGAAGACGAGCAACAGAAGTCTTGAATTTAGAATATTTACTGCAATCGGCAATCAGTAAAGCATGTCAACTTCATCGATGACTGCCTTTTATTAGAAATATCTATTTTAAATCTTTTTCTCTCGTCTTCTTGTCGTATAATAAATATGTAAAAAGTGTTTTGCATCTTACTGCATTGATTACTTGCTGCGTATTAGTTGCTGCTCCTCCCAGAGAGCTGCCGCTCTACGAGACGGTTTAAAACTGATACATAAATAAAACGTTATAAAATTATTTCATTTTTTAGTCTTTGTCATAATATTTTCGGTAGCTCTTTCCCTTTCTCTGTCTACTATCTTTTTATTCATCGTAGAAGTGTTATTTGCGTACGTGCGTACCATCATGCGTTTTCGTTTATTTTATGCAAATAATGCTTCTTTGTATTAAGTTGCATGATATGTATAATGGTTATAGGATTAATTTATAGCGTACTTACATTATTGTTTCGTTTTACTTAGATAATGTACATTTATGGAAACGCCTTTAGGTTTTATGTTTATTGAAGTTGTACAAGTTTATTAATATAATCTATTTTGCTGAGTATTGCTTTTTATCCTATACATTTTTTGGATTTCTTTCTTTACTTTTGTTTAATTTTTTAAATTTAAACGAAAAACTGATCTGTCATTATAAAGGAAGTGATTGTAAATCTCCAAATCATTGTTCAATATAGACTTTTGTATTGAATTGCGGTTTTTAGAACCTATAAAGGAATCGGAGAAATACCTCGCCTATGGTCGAACTGACCATTTAACAGGAAAATAATGTCCTTTGCAATTGAAAGAAAGTAATTTTATTTGCATTTTAGAGGTTAAAACCATATTTGTTTTTTTTTAATGTAGTGGTAATAGTATTCTACCATTGTAATCGTATGCATTGGGTTTAAGTTCCACCTGAAGTCAGCAATTGTGCAAAGCTAAAATTCTTAAATTGCTGCCATGCAATGCATAGTTTAAAGCTGACACTGCATATATATGACACAGGATTATGAGCTTATACGAGTACTGTAGCACTATAATATGTGCTGTGCACTTGATAATCACGAAAGCAGTTGCCATGATAGATATTTATCAGTAAACATTTATTCATCTTCAGAACCCTCAGCGTTAGAAACAATAATGCCGGAATTAGTGAGTGGCAGCGCTAGTGTGCGATGGCCTCGCGACCGTCGCGTGATGCGGGCGCTACTCGAACTAAGTCGCGCAGATCCCACCCCCACGGAGCCAGATAGTGAACACCTCGACGAAATACAAGACTTGCATGACTTGGTAAGTTTTTTTTCAATTTTATTTTCAAATTACAATTATTACAAATTGGCCCTAATGGCCGTTTATCCCTAGCATAGAAATATTTAATATTTAGAAGTATAATTTCATATATTACAAATGTGTGAAATATTTATATGCTTCGGATATAATAATTCTTTCACTACCAACAATTTTATGTTTTAGTAATTAGGTCCGTATGAAAATGCCATTTTATATAGAAAACAGTCCATCAGGAGCAAGGTTTTGTGAGTATGTTATGACAAACAGATTTCGTTGTCCAATCATAGCTTTTATAATTTAAAAAAGTTGTGTGTTGCGCTGAGTGTGTGTGTGTGTGTGTGTAGATAAGCGTTTTGATTTGTGATGGAGTACTGGAAAGCGAATAAAGAGCGAGCGAAGCTTGTCTACCAAAGTTTGTAATGTTTTACAATATACATTTACTAAATAAATATAATAATTCCAATAGTAAAAAACGCCCATTCCACAAGAAGCGAGTTAATATGTCATGTCCGAAGAGGTTTTATTAACTAGCTGGTAAAACTCCCTTTATGCTTTGAGTCCGTCTGGGTAGGTACAAACCCTTTAGCTATTTTTACCGCCAGGCAGTTGCTTGTTTGAAGTTTTTTGTAAAAGTTGAAGTTAGTCTTTTCTTTGTCCCTTGAATATTATAAAAGAAAAATAATAAAATTATATAAATAATAAAATGGTTCAAGAGAATAAGTTTGTCTATAATCTAAAATTATTAGACATTTTTTTTAGAACGAAGTTCATTATCGGACGGTACTAATTTGGCGGATGGCGGCTAAGTGAGAAAAAGTGTAAGATGTTTTCGTGTCGACCCCTTCTGACGTAGTGTAGACGGCCTTGGCAGCTATAAGCAGAATAATATCCATCTCCGTTGCACGTTTTCTTATCTTGCTACGAAAGAAATATTATTTTATTTTAAATGAGTTTCATTTTAATAGACGCTAGTAATTTATTTATTTGTATTTGTTAATCAATAATATAATACTTTTAAAAATAATAATATACTACGAAAGGAACTTCGTTCCAACCGAGTGTTCCACGACATTCACGCATGTTTTTATTTAATTAAGGAATGTAAAATTATTTTCTTCTTTTATTCCCCAGTTAGCGACAGAGCAGCCAGTAGAAAGCGAAGACAACCAAGAAGGCAGCGCGGAAGAACAAGAAGAAACGATCCTAGTTGATCCTAGCACAGTCCACGAGCTGGCGACGCGTGGTGATGAGGAAACTCTCGCCATTTTGCTGAAAGTTCGTAGTACTTTGAAAAATTTTGTATTTGATTACAATATTTTTTTGTTAATAATTCGAATGAAAATTATGTTTTAAGAGTTTTGTTTAGTAGGCTAGGTGGTAGGACTTTTTGTCTAGGAGTCTGTCTGGGTAGGGTCTTAACTTCTTATCTATTTTTGCCGCTAGTGCATTGTTGTGTCCCGGTCTGAAGGGTATAGAGAGCCGGTGTTATTACATCCTGTGAGGCATTCCATCTTTTTTATAGGAGAGGGGGCAAATGAGCATGCGGCTCATCTGATGGTAAGTGACTACCGCCGCCCATGAACAATTGCAACACCAAGGGAATTGCAGATGCGTTGCCGGCCTTTTCTTGAAGGTCCCTAAATCGTGGATGCTTTCGGAAGAAACTGAGTGAAATGCGACTGTGTGAAATAATTATGTGTGAGTGTGGTGCGATAGAGGAGGACGTTCACCATGTTCTATGGGAATGTCCTCTGTATGATGACCTAAGAGCGAAAATGATGGATGGATTAGTTCGTACGGTTCAAGGACCGATCTACTACTCGGATCTTGTCAGCGATGGGGTGAACTACGGGCTGTTGCGCGAGTTTGCGCACACGTGTCATGATCGAAGAATAAGGCAAGATAGAATGCTGGCAGAAAGGCCTGACGACGTATGTGTAATAGTGCCGTCAGCCACAGAAGGGGAGAAAGACAAATTGGGACAAGGGGTAGATTAAATAACTTGTAGAGAGTCAAGAAAGTGCTCGTGGGAAAGAGCCCTGAGCAAGTACCGCGTGCTTCTCTCGAGATTCGGCCCGTATAACCGCAAGGTTAGTGGGGCCATGGGACGTGGTCCCTAAGTCGTATCGGTCCAAAAAATTGCTGGTGGTAATCGATTCCACAAGGAAAATGCGCGAGGAAGAAAACTTATTCTAAATCGCACAGTGGTAGACCGCATATCATCCAGATGGTATGGATGGAATCGCGAGTTTTGTCGCGATGTGCGATGGTGAAATTGAGCGGCTGGAATTAGTTCGAACAATTTCTTAGAGAAGGCCAAATTGGCCTCTAAAAAGCTTGGCGTGCTCTGCAGAGCGGGACAGTATTTCATGCCGGCACACCGCCTGCAACTTTACAAGGCGCAGGTTCGGCCTCACATGGAATACTGTTCCCATCTCTGGGCAGGGGCTCCCCAGTGCCAGCTCCTTCCACTTGACCGCATCCAGCGCAGAGCGGCTCGAATCATCGACGACCGAGCCCTTTCCGATCGGCTCGATTCATTGGCACTGCGAAGAGATGTTGCATCTCTTTGCATTTTCTTTCGCATCTACCATGGGGAGTGCTCTGAGGAATTGTTCGGATTAATCCCAGCCGCCAAATTTCATGAACGCACATCGCGGCAGAACTCCCGATACCATCCACACCATCTGGATGATTGGCGGTCCACCACTGTGCGATTTAGAAGATGTTTTCTTCCTCGCACGACTTCCTTGTGGAATCGATTACCATCAGCGATTTTTCCGGACCGATACGACTTAGGGACCTTCAAGAAAAGAGCCTACTCCTTTTTAAAAGGCCGGCAACGCATCTGCAATTCCCCTGGTGTTGCGGTTGTTCATGGGCGGCGGTAGTCACTTACCATCAGGTGAGCCGCATGCTCGTTTGCCCCCTCTCCTATAAAAAAAAAAAAAAAAAAAAAAAAAAACTCTCCGTGGTAGATGCGATAAAATACGTAAAGAGATTAAACATTTCTTCGCAGTGCCAGTGAATCGAGCCGATCAGAAAGTACTCAGTCCTCGACGATTCTAACCGCTCTGTGCTGGATGCGGTCAAGTGGTAGGAGCTGACACTGGGGAGTCCCAGCTCAGAAATGGGAACAGTATTACATGTGCGGCATGTAAAGTTGCAGGCGGTGTGCCGGCATGATATACTGTCCTGCTCTGCTGAGTACGCCAAATTTTTAGAGGCCAAATTGGGTTTCTCTTTCAAGTGACCACGAAAATACACGTCACTCGATATGTCGACGCTGAGGATTCTGATACTGGTTGAGGCAACAAGTGGACTGTCTTGAAATTAAAAACATACTACAATAACTAAAAGATAAAATTTAGTTCTTAGAAGGTAACAGGTGGTAACAGATGTTCATAGGCTAGTAGTTCAGTAGCCAGACATCTATATGTGGTATGTGGACTATAAGTTCATTTGTCACTTCAATTCAATAAAAACTACATTGATAATATTTAATGCTACTTAGTCGTGTAGTAACGGTCTAAGAATATCCACTACACCATAACATCTGTGGGAGTTGTAAGAGGCGACAGAGGGAAACAAACCAGGAGATGGTTAGCAGCTTCTTTTTAATAATGACTAATATAAAAAACTGCGATTGCCAACCCGCTTGCCAAGCGTGGGAATTATAGTAAATATCCTCCCTATGAGGCAATCTATTTGGGAGGCCTATGTTCAGCAGTGTACTTTGTTAGGTTGTAACGGTGTTCCTGGGGATGTATAGAATGCAATATTTTTTTGTATATATTTAAAGCACAGTAATGTAGCCGTTACACTGTGTCGTGTACAGCGTTACCCGCAGCTGGCGCAGGCCGCGGACGCGTGCGGCAGCACGGCGCTGCACGCGGCGGCGCGCGGCGGGCGCGCGGGCTGCGCGGCGCTGCTGCTGCGCGCCGGCGCCGACGCCTCCGCGGCCGACGCGGACGGCTGGAGCCCGCTGCGCGCCGCCGCCTGGGCCGGACACAGCGAGGTGAGCGCCGCAACTGGTACAGACGCGGCGGCGCGCGGGCTGCGCGGCGCTGCTGCTGCGCGCCGGCGCCGACGCCTCCGCGGCCGACGCGGACGGCTGGAGCCCGCTGCGCGCCGCCGCCTGGGCCGGACACAGCGAGGTGAGCGCCGCAACTGGTACAGACGCGGCGGCGCGCGGGCTGCGCGGCGCTGCTGCTGCGCGCCGGCGCCGACGCCTCCGCGGCCGACGCGGACGGCTGGAGCCCGCTGCGCGCCGCCGCCTGGGCCGGACACAGCGAGGTGAGCGCCGCAACTGGTACAGACGCGGCGGCGCGCGGGCTGCGCGGCGCTGCTGCTGCGCGCCGGCGCCGACGCCTCCGCGGCCGACGCGGACGGCTGGAGCCCGCTGCGCGCCGCCGCCTGGGCCGGACACAGCGAGGTGAGCGCCGCAACTGGTACAGACGCGGCGGCGCGCGGGCTGCGCGGCGCTGCTGCTGCGCGCCGGCGCCGACGCCTCCGCGGCCGACGCGGACGGCTGGAGCCCGCTGCGCGCCGCCGCCTGGGCCGGACACAGCGAGGTGAGCGCCGCAACTGGTACAGACGCGGCGGCGCGCGGGCTGCGCGGCGCTGCTGCTGCGCGCCGGCGCCGACGCCTCCGCGGCCGACGCGGACGGCTGGAGCCCGCTGCGCGCCGCCGCCTGGGCCGGACACAGCGAGGTGAGCGCCGCAACTGGTACAGACGCGGCGGCGCGCGGGCTGCGCGGCGCTGCTGCTGCGCGCCGGCGCCGACGCCTCCGCGGCCGACGCGGACGGCTGGAGCCCGCTGCGCGCCGCCGCCTGGGCCGGACACAGCGAGGTGAGCGCCGCAACTGGTACAGACGCGGCGGCGCGCGGGCTGCGCGGCGCTGCTGCTGCGCGCCGGCGCCGACGCCTCCGCGGCCGACGCGGACGGCTGGAGCCCGCTGCGCGCCGCCGCCTGGGCCGGACACAGCGAGGTGAGCGCCGCAACTGGTACAGACGCGGCGGCGCGCGGGCTGCGCGGCGCTGCTGCTGCGCGCCGGCGCCGACGCCTCCGCGGCCGACGCGGACGGCTGGAGCCCGCTGCGCGCCGCCGCCTGGGCCGGACACAGCGAGGTGAGCGCCGCAACTGGTACAGACGCGGCGGCGCGCGGGCTGCGCGGCGCTGCTGCTGCGCGCCGGCGCCGACGCCTCCGCGGCCGACGCGGACGGCTGGAGCCCGCTGCGCGCCGCCGCCTGGGCCGGACACAGCGAGGTGAGCGCCGCAACTGGTACAGACGCGGCGGCGCGCGGGCTGCGCGGCGCTGCTGCTGCGCGCCGGCGCCGACGCCTCCGCGGCCGACGCGGACGGCTGGAGCCCGCTGCGCGCCGCCGCCTGGGCCGGACACAGCGAGGTGAGCGCCGCAACTGGTACAGACGCGGCGGCGCGCGGGCTGCGCGGCGCTGCCACTGGTACTAACGCGGGCGACAGCACGGCCGCCTCCAAGGAATGCCACAAAATACGGTCCCGAGCCACCTGCTTCCATCGACTTCCTGCATGTCTTACCAGGTTGTCACTCCATCTAGCGGGGGGACGCCCGACACTTCGCCTGCCGGTACGAGGCTGCCACTCGAGAACCTTTCTTCCCCATAGGTTGTCGGTTCTTCGAGCTATATGGCCGGCCCATGGCCACTTCAGCGTACTAATTCTTTGGGCTATGTCGGTTACTCCGGTTCTACTGCGGATATCCTCGTTTTTAAGTCTATCACGCAGAGAAACGCCGAGCATAGCCCTCTCCATAGCTTGCTGAGCAACTTTGCGGCCAGCAATGAAATACCACGTCTCAGTTAGGTATCACTGGCAACACGCACTGGTTGAAAAATCTGGTTTTGAGGTATGTCTAACGAGAATGTGTCGTAATCTCCCGAACGCTGCCTAGCCGAGTTGAATCCGTCGATTGACCTCTCGGTCGAAGTTGAAGTATCCTTTTTCCAGTCCAATAGCTTAAAAACGTCTTCCAATGCCGCGGTGAAGAGTTTCAGGGATATTACGTCACCCTGTCTTACACCTCTCTGCACTTGGATAGATTTCGTGCTCTGGTTCTGTACTCGGATAACCATCGTAGCCCTACTGTACAAACACTTCAGCACTTCGATATACCGACACACCGCTCGAGGGACTGCAGCACCGCCCAAATTTCGACGCAATCAAAGGATTTCTCATAGTCCACATACGCAAGACAAAGTGTCAAATTGTACTATTCGGTCTTCTGTACAATTTGCCGAAGGGTATGTATGTGGTCTATGGTGCTAAAGCCTTTTCGGAATCCGGCTTTTTCGGGAGGCTGGAAGTCGTCAAGTCTGCATGCGAGACGATTCGTAATGACTCGAAAACAGCACGTAGATGCGGGTCAGAAGGGAAATCGGTTTGTAGTTCTTCAAGAGAGCGTTGTCGCCTTTCTTGAACAACAAGACCATCGCACTTCTACTCCACGCCTCCGGAGTATTGTCTCCATGAAGGACGGAATTAAAGAGCTTCTGAAGGACTTTAAGTACCCGTTTTCCATCCGCTTTCAGAATCTCCGCTGTATTTCCATACTCGCCCAGGGACTTGTCGTTTGTAAGTTGTTGGAGAACCATTCTAATCTCGCTCAGACTGACGTCCAGGATATCGTCGGAATAGTGTCGGATAAGACAGTGACAGATGGGTAGAAGTAATTCTATAAAAAAAAAACACTCCATTAATTTAATGATGCTATATGAATCATTTATTTTTTTCATACATAATTATAAGTTAAATTTTATTTCAGGTTGTAGAAGTCCTGCTCGAATATGGATGTGACGTGGATTGTGTGGATGCAGACAACAGAACTGCTTTGAGGTAAGTAAACATACACATCAATTTACACAACTAAGTTTAATTTTATAGGGTTATAAATTATGATAAGCTACTGGTATGAATGGTAATTCGCGTACTATAATGTCTAGCTTTATGATTATTAATTTTTTAATGAAGTATGGTCTTCCAAATTTAGAATTAGAATCTATTTCTTAATTTTCTTTGTTGTGTAATTATTTTTTGCGTTATTTTAATTTCAAAGAAAGAAAGAATATAATATTTATTAATATTATTAAATTAACTATTATTTAAATTCAACACAACAATTTTTAAATTTTGTCTGTGTGTCTGTTCGTTTGTCCCGGTTAATTTCTGAAACGGCTGATCCGATTTTGACTGGACTTTCACTGGCAGATAACTGGTGTTATAAGACATAACTAAGACTACTTTTATTTTAGAAAAGGAATTAGGGTTTCGCACAAAAAAATTAAAATTCTTGAAATTGTGATCAAAACCCAATTTAAATAGGGAATTATAATTATAAATTATTAAAAACTATGCATGCAAAGTCGCGGGCACAGCTAGTATACACGATGAAAAAAAACTAATAAAAATAAAATGAAACTAAATACTTCAAGTATCATACAGTCCTACTCTTTGTGTTATCGTGCCCAAAACGTTGGCTGCGTTACCTCGCTGAATACTTAGCTTTTGAGCGAGAAAAGAACCAGCCTTCTTATCACCAGCAGCGACGACCAGTCGCGGATACACTTCTTTTAGGAATTTTACCGCATGTGAACCACCTGGACCGATAGTTTCTACAGCAAATGGCACAAATATGTAGTCATCTTTCAGAGACTAGTATTTGCGTCATTTAATTAGTTTAGTAACCTCTGAAGTCGCTTGAGGTGAGAGGTCGCCAAAGTGTTTCCGCAAGTAGCATTCCACACTAGGGCTTTACCGCTTTCCCAAGGTACAAAAAACTGTGGGAACGTTTATAGAGACAAGAGTTTTTTGGATTACATCATTTCATTCATATGCAGTGTTTGCGTAAACATAAGAAATCGTTATAAAAACTGAATAAATGAGTGTATGTGTGTGTGTGAGAGTGAAATGAAGGCTGTGCGTGTGGTCAGGGCGGCGGCGTGGTCGGGGCACGAGGCGGTGGTGGCGCGGCTGCTGGCGGGCGGCGCGCGCGCGGACCGCGCGGACGCGGAGGGCCGCACGCCGCTCATCGCCGCCGCGTACATGGGCCACGCGGACATCGTGCGCGCGCTGCTCGACGCCGGCGCGGACGTCGACCACGCGGACGCGGACGGTACGTGCCCATACATACAGAATGAACCATCTCACCAGGGGAAGCTTTTTTCACTCTTTTTTTTTATAAAATAAGTGTGACAAATGAGCACACGTCCACCTGATAGTAAGTGGGTGCTGTGGACCATAGACATCCATATTTATCCTCGATTAAGAATTAATACCCAGATGCGTTGTCACCCCTAAGGACTAAGTTTCCGGTTCTCTACACTCAACATACAAAACACAAGCATTAAGCTGCTCCCACGTTCATACCGTCTTCGTCCATCAGGCCGACTGTCTTACACCTACCTGACTGCCCCAGAAGGAGGTAATGTTCCTCGAGAATATGTATGTATGTATAATTATCTATTTCTTTGGTACGCTCTGTAGCCTAAACCGCTTGATGCATTTCATCATATGAGGTGTCGTTAGATTCGTTTTGATTGTGGGAGTGACATAGGATATGAAAATTTTCTCTTTACAGTGAAATTTGTTACATCATTGGTTTTTTATTATTGTTTCAACTTTTAAGCTTGTTGTCAGAAACAGAAACGAATAGAGGTATAAATTTATATTTAATATCAAATACTAAGGTCTACAGTACATTGGAGATGTAAAAAGTATTAAGTATTTTACACTACTTATTCAAATTCCAAAGATCTTTATTTATATTATATAAACATGACAAGTAAGCACGCGTTCCCCACCTGAAGGTACATCTAGCTACATCTCTCCTTAATAAAAATCAAAGTATAGATACTTTGTCACCCCTGAGAACTAAGATAAAATGCCTAGTTACCAGTAAAAAAACTGAAATTTTTGTACCGCATTCTCATTTTCTTTTTAAAAGCTCATATTAGAATGAGATAAAATTGAAGTAATAACGTACGTACAGTCAACATGTCGGTAAGTGGCTGCTGCAACCCAGGAACACCTGCTAGCAAATTCAAACAAATGACACAGACGCGTCACGCCTCACTTTTGAGGACCAAGATAGCTTTTCTTACAGGCTGTTATTATACTGGCTCTATATCCTTTAGAATGGAATACAATAGTATACGTACTGCTCCTTGGCTTTGGAAGAAATACGTGAGAAGGTGTTACGTGTAAGTGCAATGGCATAAGAGAATTTAACGCCCCGTTTATGTGACGCTGAATTCTAATCTCATGGTTTTCGATAGATGACGCTATAACCATCTCGTTAAAAGTTAGATGTTAAATATTTGAACCGAACTGTACGGGTTAAGTGGTTCAAGACGTCTTGTGCTGTGATGGCCAATTACGGTAATACAATTACAAGCTTGTAAACTTCTTTAGCGCACTTTGTAGAACACCTTTTCTGCTAAGGAGACTTGGGTATTTTAAATCTGGTATAAAGACCAAATGGTTGTAGCTCCTATTATTACGGGCCTAAAGATTTATCAGGGCATAACTTTAAAACTCCTAGTATTAAGGTTATGCCTGGGGTATGTGATAAGTACGGCTAACTGTACGGCTTTTTATTTAAGTTTTTTTTTTATATTTTAATAGTTTATCAGATGCTTTTGATTTTTGAATTTTTTGTGAATTACATTAATTGCATGCAGGTCGAACGGCACTAGCAGTAGCGGCACTATGTGCAGCGGGCGCGCCTTGTGCGGCACTGCTAATAGAACGCGGCGCTGACGTACACAAGGCTGATAGGGATAGAGCAACACCACTGCTTGTGGCCGCTTTTGAAGGGCATACGTGAGTATACAATAATGGTTACATATTTATTTACTTTAACACAGTTTTATATCGTGTAAGGTATGTATATCATATTCTTCAAATTCCATTTTATCCTTCGTAAGCTCATAAAAGTCTACTGCTGGACATTTACGTTTGGCAGTTGGATTCATTACCAAATATTTCATATCTTTGACGCTGCTGCCCGTCGCAGATCTGAGTATTTTACTTTTGAGTAAACTAGATGATATATCGTTATCTAACGGAAACCCGAAAATTGTTCTGCATTGACTATAGTCGTCTCTTACGACAACCACGACCCACGGGACGATATGACATGACAAACATGTAAGTGAAAGGAAGCAATCGCTAACACCATACGGTTAACTTTATACATGAATATAAATTAAATGATGATTATGTGTTTATCCACATTAGTCAGTTTTATTGTATCTAAGAGTTGTAATTAAGAAAAGTCATCATATGGTTTACCTAGAACGAGAAAATGAAACAATGAAACTTATACTATCTATCACATGAAATTTTAAGCTACCTTTCTGTCTACATATCCGTGGACTGAAGTAATTTCTGTCACCAACGATCACGTTGTACATGTATACAAGTACATAACACATGTCATGAATCAGCAATTAAATTGCAATAAACAATTTTAGTGGCATTGATGGTATCAAATTTATGTATGGTCATTTGCAACAGTCCTTATAGAATAGCAGAAAAAATGGCATATGCCGTATTAAAAGAAATAATGATAGAAATATTTTAAACCTTAACTTTTTGTGTTAAGGTTTGTATTATTATAAATATATTATGTTATTTAGTAATATTTGGTTAAACTGTATGCCCGCGATTTTAGCATTATGCTACGAATGGACTTGCATGGAGTTTCGCAAATGACGGTAAATAATGATTTTTGTTCGCAGCGAGATCTGTGAGCTGCTGCTGGAGGCGGAGGCGGACATAGAGGCGAGTGACGTGGCGGGGCGCACGGCGCTGTGGGCGGCCGCGTCGGCGGGCCACGCGCGCACCGTGCGCTTGCTGCTGTTCTGGGGCGCGTGCGTCGACAACATGGATGCCGAAGGTCGGACCGTGTTAAGCACCGCCGCAGCACAAGGTAATATATCTAGTACACATCACTTGTGTTTTCTTTTCAAGCGTATACGACAGACACACACTTTAACCTGGTTTAAAGCTCGTTTATAGTATAATACTTTCTTTTTAGGCTTCCATACCCGAAGGATAACCAACGAACCCTATTACTAAGCCTCCGCTGTCCGTCCGTCCGTCCGTCTGTCTGCTGGCGGGCTGTTGAAATTTTCACAGAATGTGTATTTCTGTTGCCTCTATAACAGCAAATATTAAAAATAAATTATTAATTTATTTAAATTAATTAAAGGAGGCTCCCCTAGTAGAAAAGTGAATTATGATGGTACGGAACCCTTCAAGCCAGTCCAACTCGCGCTTGGACGTTTTTTTTTCTTCATCAGCCTTTAAAGCGTCCATTGCTGGACATAGACCTCTATAGTTCCGCGGATATTGTACTTTTGTAGTTAGGCATATGCTGCTTATTTTATATGTAATGCCTCTGAGCTCTTAGATGGAGTGCCTCATAGCCTGTAAATATACTGGCTTTCTATACCCACTCTTCAGACCGAGACACAGCAGTGCAAGCGCTGCAGAGGGTGATACAATACCCAGTCGGACTCCCAGCAGAAGAGGAGTCCTTCCATTAAAAAACCAAAATCAGGAAGCTACGTCATTTATGCGGTCGGATATTATACAATCTGACCAAGCTAAGAAAAAGCACAACTGTGGACTGTTGGTGGTGTGATGTTGGACGAATGGACGTTAAATATCGAATTTTGTGTGACAAGCATAAAAATTATTCCACTGGTCAGTGGATTGCGGACTGAGGTTTCGAATCCTGCGCTGAACAAGTTCTTAGCATTATAAAATAATTTTCCCGGGTCCGGGTATTTGTCCACATGCATTTTATTTATGTAAAACGATACCGGGTAAAAATAATAGCGTGATGGGTAAAAAGCTACCCTTTTTATTAAAAATTTAGCTAAATTTTCAACTCGAATTTGTCTTACCCATATCTACCAACTTCTCTTTGAAGTCGGTAGACATGGGATATATAGGATATATACGAGGAGGGAGATACTCAATTCGACTGTGTTTTTTTAATGTGCTACCTCATAACTTTTTTCTATGTGAACCGATTTCAATGATTCTTTTTTTATTTGAAAGCTGATGCTTCTCGGGTGGTCCCATATAAATTTGATCAAGGTCTGACCAATAGTTTTTGAGTTATCCTTAGCAATTTATATTGAAGTCGGTTTTACAAAATTTTTAATTTTCCACTTGTTCTAATTTTCACTTTGAACCAACAACAGGTCATATTTAAAATAAAAATTATTAAATAAAACTTAAAAAATGTTGAATCCTAAATGCATAATATTTACCCAACAGGCAATGTGGAAGTGGTCCGTCAGTTACTAGACAGAGGTCTAGACGAACACCATCGAGACAATTCCGGCTGGACGCCATTACACTACGCCGCTTTTGAAGGTAAATAAAAAGAATTTTTGTTTTTATTTATAACTAACACAGAATCATAGGAGGATGGAGGAGGAGAAAGGATTGTTGTGTTCAAATTTTAGTAAACTTACTCTAGGGTGCTTTGTGGCATTCCTTGGGGAAGGCCTAAGTTCAGCAGTGGACTTATGAAAGGCTGTAATGATGATGATGATGACTAGGGTTTGATGTTGTATGTGTCAAAATACACACATTATGCAAATAATAAATAAATGTTATACAATCGCGTATATTTTGATTACGAATACGTCACTAAACCAATATTTATGCAAAAATTCAAATAATTGATTTCGGGTGTGGTAGTTTGTCCCAGTGTTTCTTTTTCTGCCGACTTCAAAAAAGAGACGGTACTCAATTCGACTGTATGTTTTTTTATGTGTGTTACCTCATAACTTTTTACTGGGTGAACCGATTTCGATGATTCTTTTTTTATTTGAAAGTTGGTACTTCACATGTGGTCCCATATGAATTTGATTGAGGTCAGACCAATAGTTTTTGAGTTATTCTTAATAATTTACATTGAAGTCTGCTGTACAAAATTTTTAATTTTAAATTATTTGTTAATTGCATCTTTGTCACACATCGACCTTAACACAGAAGTGTTACAAGTATCGATTGAGCACTTTTCTGTTAGCGTACACTCGTTCATTATCATAGTATCTAATAGCATACAGGCGTTGGACTTCGTTGGACCGGACTAACTAAAACAACAGCTGCTATTTATACAACTTATGTTTACACTTACACACTTACACTGCAGATTCTACTTCACCTGAAAATGACTCTTGTAGAGGCGAAACACGTATCGTATTATCGTCGGTGGTGTGTCGATTCTATTGTAGTGGTGTTAGGAGTAGTGGTGCTGGGATTAGTGGTGACGGGGATAGTGTACGCAATTATAGCGTTTATATAGGCAAAAACTGTAATGAACTTCATTTCATTGTTCATGTTGTGAGCTCACCTTAAAAATATATTGCTAATTTTTTTTAAATAAAATTCATTTTATTAATAGGTGTTTATGGTAGAATGTGTTGTGATTTTTCCCTCAGTGCCCCTCTATGGGCACATTTTTCTTCAAAGTACTTGCTGCATATAGTCGAATATTTTCTTTTAGGAACCCACTTTCTATTTATTATTTTGATTTTAGAACCATTTTTGTCGAAAATAAATATTTTGTGAAAATAAGCCACAGCATCCACTTACCATCAGGTGGACTGTGTGCTCGTTTGTCATGATAATTATATTAAAAGATTTTTGTTCATAGAGATTATTTAGCTACGGAACCCTAAAAATTAAAAAAAAACTACAAAGTTTAATAAGGCTGCATGCAAGGCATACTTTTGCCAGTTAGGGACATTTCGATAATATGTTATCGATAGTGTCAATCTCTACAAAAGTTAGAATTAGCTGAATTTCACGTATTTGTGATCATTTTAAATTCAATTCCTATGCATTTATAACATTAATATCATAAAATGTAATAATTTTTCCCATCCATTTGTGAACAAATCGTTTCTGTATGACCAAAAACAAAGCATTTAGACAGCTAAATATTTCAATCGTATCTACTGGTTAAATGTATAATAATGTGCGATTTATTTTTGAGGTGAGTTATATTTAGATACTTCACACCTAGTCATAATTAATTACGTCCATTAAACACTAATTTTCACTTTAAGCCTGAGATTTTGCAAAAAATACAAGTATTTGTAAGTATGTAATTTTAATTTGTTTTGTTCACAAATGACGCTAGGACGATACAAGTCGATAGCGTGTACGTGAATGGTCTCACCTCTCTTTCTTGCTCTAACATACGCGTACAGAACGCGACAGGTCGACATGGTAATCAGGGTATGAACAGAGGTGCGTGTAGGAGGGCACCCCGCATATCCGCACATCGCCCGCGCCATCTTAGTCTTAGCTTAGCATGAGTCCGCATCGACCGACAGCGTTTATCGATTTCGATCTCGCTCACATTGTTCTTTGTGTATTAGACTTCGGTCGCTTCCTCGTCACGTGTTAAAATAAAAAACTAATAATTCATTGTCACTCACGAGAACTAGCCAGAAAAGTATTAGAAAGTTGTGGTCTTGAACGGGAAAACAATTAATATAAATATCCTGTCAATCTGACATTGGATTTTGTTGTTGCGTTTTACACCGGCTTATCGAAAAGAACTTTGTCCAGAATGAAATTCGAATAAAAATTAGCAGGACCCTATAAACAATTAAATTCGCCCACAAAACGGAAGAAGACAGGCCAAAAGTTTTGTGTTGACAATTCATAACATTATAATAGAATTTTATTTACAAAATAAAATCATTCCGACATGTCCCAAACTAATTGTTGCGTTACGCGAAAAAATAGGTTTTACTACTTTTACTACTTATCAACACCCCAAGGAAAAGCTATTACTACTAATACGTTATAACGGCTGTTGAAAAAAATGGGCTACAGGTGGCGTCAGTGTGTGTCAAACCAAACGATCTGTTTCAATTGAAAAGCCAGATATAGTTTTCAAACGCTATTAATATTTAAAGAAAATTAGGGATTTCCGACAACACAACAGAAATATTTTTTTATTTAGATGAAACGTGGACGGACAATTATTTCACTTTCAAAAAGTGTTTGCCAATGACTGAATCAAAAGAAATTCTCACAGATACTAGTTCTGAAAATAGACTCATAGTAGGCAGCGCAGGAGGCAAAACCGGATTTCTACCGGGGGCTTCTTTGATATTTAAGGCCATTACTACTACCGGCGACTATCATAGACAAATGAATGGCGAGGATTTTGAGAAATGGGTAGTCGAAAAGCTTTTGCCTTTATTTCCTGACTGCAGTGTCGTGGTAATGAACAACGCACCTTACCATAGTGTCCAGATAAATAAGCCCCCAACATAAAGTTCGGTAAAATCTGCATTGATAAAATGGTTGGAAGACATTTCTTGCGACAAGTCAATGAGGAAACCAGATTTATTTGAAATTATGGAACAATACAGACCCGTTGATATCAATTATAAAATTGTCAATATAATTATAGGGCAATGTTTTGTAAGGAAACACAGCATAAAGAGCGATTTGTGTTTGACAAAACTGAAAGAGGTAACAACGAATGCAATTTTGATAATTACTTCAGAAAGCTGGGCAAATTTCGAAAAATATGGTGTACTGGGAAAAGGATATAGTAATGGAAGATTTAACTAGTGACGAAGAATCACTAAGTACTTGTAGCGATAATAGTATGAGTTCATTTGATATTGATTGTGATGAATAAAGTATTAATATAAAATAGTTTTTCATTTTACTTATAAAACACCTTATTTATTTAATTTTACTCTTATTTTGTTACGTAGCAAAAATAACTATCGATATAAACTATCTGGTACGTGATGCCACATCACTAGAAAATTGCCATGTCGACCTGTCGCATACTGTAGACTATGCTCGTTCTCTTTTGCATTGCCAATCTATTCTGGCTTAGCCACTGCGCCATGGAGCTGTCAAAAATTTTTCTTGTATTATTTGCCACTAACAAGAGGTTGTAACAAGTTGATTTCTTCACAAATTTTATTGTAAAACTCTTCAAAAGTAATGTTTTTGAAGTTGTGATCTTATTTGTATGAATAATAAACTTAAATGAGATCTTGATTATTTCCTTTGTTCTGTGTTCGGTAGGAGTCAAAATTAACCCTGTCAGATGGTAATCCTACAAGGGACCGCATGATCAGCAGTGGCGCTCAAGACCACTAGAGCATTGACTATTTCTGGCTACTTACAGGACACATTGAGGTGTGCGAGGCGCTGCTGGAAGCGGGTGCGCAGGTGGACGAAGCGGACAACGACGGCAAGGGCGCGCTGCTGCTAGCGGCGCAGGAAGGACACACGCGCCTCGTGCAGCTGCTGCTGGACCGCTGGGCCGCGCCCGTCGACCAGCGCGCACACGACGGCAAGACCGCGCTCAGGTACACGCACACATGCACAACGCATGCAAGAGGGACACGCGCGTCTCGTGCAGCTGCTGCTGGACCGCTGGGCCGTGCCCGTCGACCAGCGCACGCACGACGGCAAGACCGCGCTCAGGTACACGCACACATGCACAACGCATGCAAGAGGGACACGCGCGTCTCGTGCAGCTGCTGCTAGACCGCTGGGCCGTGCCCGTCGACCAGCGCACGCACGACGGCAAGACCGCGCTCAGGTACACGCACACATGCACAACGCATGCAGGAGGGACACGCGCGTCTCGTGCAGCTGCTGCTGGACCGCTGGGCCGCGCCCGTCGACCAGCGCGCACACGACGGCAAGACCGCGCTCAGGTACACGCACACATGCACAACGCACGCAGGAGGGACAAACGCGTCTCGTGCAGCTGCTGCTGGACCGCTGGGCCGCGCCCGTCGACCAGCACACGCACGACGGCAAGACCGCGCTCAGGTACACGCACACATGCACAACGCATGCAGGAGGAACACGCGCGTCACGTACAGCTGCTGCTGTTTCAGTTAATAACAGCTTAATGCTGTCTTGTTTCGTATAGTAAGTGACCTTTTATACTGGAAATAAGGCATTCCATTTCGTTCGTTGCGTTCGTTGCGTTCTGCAGGTTGCCGCCGTGTTTGCCATTACAGGTCGGCGGATTGGGACGGAATGCGGTCTTTCTTTGCTTCCTACCCATGGGGGCGGGCTTGCTTCTCGCCGGATGATCCCAGCGCTGTTGCTGACTGTGTCACTGATGTGGTGCTACAGGGAATGGAACTATTTATTCCATCATCTGTGGTACCCATCGGAGGCTGATCTCAGCCTTGGTTTGGTCGCTCCTGTAAGACTGCATTACGCAGTAAGCAGGAGTGTTATCAAGCCTGGGCTGCGGCTTCGGTGACTCGGGATGTAAACACCAGCACACTTAAAAAGAAGTATAACTTCGCCTCCAGGTCCTTCAAAAGAGTTATTGCCAAGGCAAAGTCAGAGCACATAGGCAGAATTGGCGAGAAACTAGTTCGCCTTCCTTCGGGAACCCGTGCATTCTGGTTTCTCTCCAAGGTTGTCCAAGGGAATTTCTGTAAGCCATCACTACCATCTCTGCACAGGGAGGACGACTCACTGGCACAAGACGCAAAAGACAAAGCTGACCTTTTAGGCTCCCTTTTTGCGTCCAACTCGACTCTTGATGACGGGGGGAAAACACCGCCGACCATCCCGCGGTGTGAGTGCTCCATGCCAGATGTGCTGTTCTCACAGCGCTCGGTTCGCAAAGCACTTCTCTCCCTGGACATCCAGAAGTCGAGTGGGCCTGACGGAATCCCCCCAATTGTGCTGAGGACGTGTGCTGCGGAGTTGGCACCGGTCCTAACGCGTCTTTTCCGGTACTCCTACTCCCAAGGCGTAGTCCCGAATTCATGGAAGACAGTTTTTGTCCACCCGATCCCTAAAAAAGGCGACCGTCCAACTATAGGCCTATCGCGATCACCTCTTTGTTCTCCAAAATAATGGAATCCATTATTAACTGCCAGCTCATCCGGTACATTGAGGATCACCAGCTGATTAGTGACCGCCAATACGGTTTTCGTCGGGGTCGATCTGCTGGTGATCTTCTGGTCTACCTGACCCATAGATGGGCGGAGGCAGTAGAGTCCAAGGGGGAGGCGTTGGCCGTTAGTCTGGACATTGCGAAGGCCTTCGATCGGGTTTGGCACAAAGCGCTTCTTTCGAAGCTCCCTTCCTATGGGCTTCCCGAGAAATTGTGCAATTGGATCACCAGCTTTCTTGCAGATCGGAGCATCAAGGTCGTTGTAGACGGTGCATGTTCTGACTACAAGCCTATTAACGCTGGTGTTCCACAAGGCTGTGTGCTATCACCAACGCTGTTTCTTCTGCATATCAATGATATGTTGCTAACTGGTAACATTCATTGCTATGCGGATGACACCATTGGTGATGCTCTATACACGGGCCGTGCCAATATTTCTCGGGAAAACGTCGCCGAGTACCGGAACAAACTTGTGTCTGAAGTCGAGTCTTTGCTGAACAAAGTCTCGGATTGGGGGCGACTAAATATAGTCCAGTTTAATCCTCAGAAGACACAAGTTTGCGCGTTTACCGCTAAAAAGAACCCCTTTGTCGTATCTTCTCAGTTTCAAGGCACTCCCCGTCTTGCGTCAGCCAAATTTCCGCCAAATTTCACGAACGCACATCGCGGCAGAACTCCCGATACCATCCACACCATCTGGATAATTGACGGTCCACCACTGTGCGATTTAGAAGATGTTTTCTTCCTCGCACGACTTCCTTGTGGAATCGATTACCATCAGCGATTTTTCCGGACCGATACGACTTAGGGACTTTCAAGAAAAGAGCGTACTCCTTTTTAAAAGGCCGGCAACGCATCTGCAATTCCCTCCCTGGTGTTGCAGTTGTTCATGGGCGGCGGTAGTCACTTACCTTCAGGTGAGCCGCATGCTCGAATGCCCCCTCTCCTATAAAAAAAAAATACAAATAATTGTTCCGGGCCTGGATGTTTGTCCTCGTGCAATTTATGTTTGTAAACTGCCTTCACGATACAGGAGAAAATCCTATGCGGGTAACGTTTTTTAAGCGTACTACAGTAATACTTTTTGAGTTATTCTTAATAACTTAAGAATTTTAAGTCGGTTGTATAACATTTTTAATTTTAAATTATAATTATTCTGCATCCATTTCCTCATCGTATTCTCTTGTACTCTTCGATTGGAAGGCTAATAAACTATTTTCTACAAATCTTCCTCCAGTGGATCCCGCATCACCTTTTCCCCTGGGTACCTTCGAGCAAAATGCTGCAGTGTCATCGTTTCATCAACGAAAATGACATTGTCCCAATTGGTTATTTTTTTCATTTCTCTTAAAAAATGTTATATTATTAATGAGGCCTCTCTCATGCCTCTCCATAATTATTTTGCGTTTATCATTTTTTTTATATCGGAAGCGCATGCGTTTTAAAATGGTTTTCAAAGACTACCATTGTATAAACCGCCATCTACTAAACTTTCTTGCAACTAAGCCGCAGTAGGATATTCTTATTTAGATAATATCATAAATTGTAATATGAGATATTATTGTTTATGATATTCCTATGTATATAACTTGTCAAGTTAACGACGAATATAATAGAATCAGTGCAAAAAGTTATAGCCGAGTCACAAAACAAGGTAAACGCAAAGTCACAAAAGTACGCACAGTAAGCTCCCAAAATGGCGGGAGATTGGAATTACGTAGTGTTTTTTTTAGCGCGGCTTTGCATATGAATTTCTTTGCCTACACAAGTTTACACTGACAAAGTAGGAAGTTATAAAATAAATACGAGTATACTTGTTTAATTCTTGATTCATATAATTTAAGCAATTCTAAAAATAAAATTTACATAAACAAATAATAAATTAAATCATTTCAAGATTCGATTAATTGAACATTTTTACCGATTTTTTGAATATTTTTACCGATTATTCGCATAACAATGAATTTTAATCATTCAAACACTACGGTAAGTTACATAGCGATATATCATTGAAACAATGTCAGGCAAAAAAGTTGTCTGGTTATTTTTTTCATATTTTGCTTTTTCTGAAAGATTCGAACTTGAATTAGTGATAAAGAACTATATATGTTGTAATGAAATATAGATAACTTCATAATTGTTTGGATTTTCGTAAAAGGTTATTAGGATCGGGTGACAAACGGCACACAGTCCACCTGATGGTAAGTGGTTACTGTGACTCATAGACATCTACATCTCATCTACAACCCGTGAGGACTAAGATGGAATGCCTCTTTGCCAGTAAAAAGGGTCTCCGGTTCTCTACACTCACCATACGAAACACAGCAGTGTTGAGCTGCTATTTTACGCTGGTTTTCTGTGAGAGCGTGGTCCTTCCCCGGTCGAGCCGACCCATTCGTGCTACAACCATAATATAGCTGCAGCATGTCTCTACCACGTAGAAAAGTTATTGCGGAATGATTAATGTGAAACGTCAAAACGTATTTCTTAGATTTGGTTGAGTATAAAAAGCTAAACAGATTTTGGAACTAAGTTTCTTATCGCACGGTACGAATTTGGCGGATAGGGGCTATGTGAAAAAAAGAGTAAGATTTTTCCGACACGGTCCTTTCTATAGAGCGAGCGAGACGGAATAATATCCAACTCCCTCGCACTTTTTCTTATCTTGCCATGAAAGAAATATAATTTTAAATGACGCTTACATTTTAATAGACGCTAGTAATTGTTGTATGTGCAGGTTGGCGGCGCTGGAGGGGCACTTCGAGACGGTGGCGGCGCTGGTGGCGCGCGGCGCGGACGTGGACGCGCTGGACGCGGACCGGCGCAGCACGCTGTACGTGCTGGCGCTCGACAACCGCCTGGCCATGGCGCGCCAGCTGCTCGCCTCCGGCGCCAGCGTGCACTGCAGCGACACCGAGGTCAGCGACAACGCTCTCTTGGAGAACTACTGACCGATTTCCGTTCTGAGCCGCGTCTATTGCATTCAAATCGTCTCGCACGCAGACTCGACGACTTCTAGTCTCCGGAACAAGTCGGTTTCCGAAGAGGCTTTAGTACCATAGACAACATACACACTCTTCGGCAAATTGTACATAACAGAAGAGTACAATCTGCCACTTTGCCTTGCGTATGTGGACTATGAGAAAGCCTTGGATTCCGTCAAAATTTGGGCGGTGCTACAGACTCTTCAGCGGTGCCAAGTTGACTGTCGGTATATTGAAGTGCTAAAGTGTTTGTACAGTAGGACTACGATGGCTATCCGAGTACAGAATCGGAATACGAAACCTATCCAACTGCAGAGAAATGTAAGACAGGGTGAAATATCTCCGAGACTTCACCGCTGCGTTGGTAGACGTCTTCTTTCAGACACTATTGAGTGTCTCCCAACAGATAGGTCTTAAGATGAACATGGACAAAACAAAGATCATGTTTAATGTCCATGACACACCTCTCGCTGTAGTTCGGAGCACAAAGCTCGAAGTTGTTGACGAGTACCTGGAACAAATAGTCCGACTGAGTCCTGTGGTTGTTTGATGTTAGCTTAATACATTCTCAACATAGTATACCTACCTACATAATTCAGAGTATTTAGATTATTATATCTCTATTATACTTATATATTTGCATACTATAAATGTATATTTCTGGCATGGCTCCAGGGTCTTTGTGTCATACAGTGACATTCTCAGAAGGGCTAGAACCCAGAGCCGTAAGGCCAGTAAAAAAAACAGTGACATTTTGTTTTAGCTAGTGTTGCCATAACATTAAATGAAATTGGTACATAGTACTATTGATTGAGATAATATATTATTGTAGGAAGTTCTCTGTAAGAGACTTATTTTCAACCAAATCAATGTGTGTGTTGTGTTGGTAGTCTTACAAAGTGTATACGAAAATAGTATGAATATAGTAAATGGCAACACTTGAATAGAGTAAAATGATTTAAGTCTATGATATTCCCAAAATTGTTTTTTTTTCTGGCTTTAATTAAAATACATTTTTATTTGAAAAATCATAGAAAAATAATAAAACTCATTTTATATATAACTTATTTCTAGACGCAATAATTTTTGTCAACTATTTCCGCCATTGTTTTTTCATTTCTTATGTTTTATATTATTTAATTAAATGGATAGCAAATGTTAATTACGTAACTGATACGCAAATGGTGGCGCAGGCCTACTCTACCATTTATTATTTATTTATGATTATACAAAAGTAAAGATTGTATGAAAATGCATGTCAAATTCATAAATAGTTATTCAATATTTTGACAGTAATACCATGATTTCTTTACAGGGTCGCACACCATTACACGTGTCCGCGTGGCAAGGGCATACAGAAATGGTCAACTTGCTAATAACAGTCGGTGAGTATTTTTGTTAATGTTTCAATAAAATGTAATAGTTGAATAAGTATTTATTGTACACAATTTAGAGAGAAATGCATTGTATATTTTTATATTAATTAGGAGAGTAGAAAACGATCTAAATGTCCAACTTACAGTAAGTTGCTACTTTAGTACACGGACACATGTAGCCAACGTCAAACAAATATGGCCGCTAATTCGTTCGTGGTCTCTGAAGACCAAGATAAATTTCTTCTTTCCCTGTAATGATATAGCTCCCTAGCTCTTAAATTGGAATGTGGCAGTCTCTTGGCGGCAGAAATATTTAAAAAGTGGTTGATATACACCCGGACAGATTCCGAGACTGAACCGAGGTGATAACGAAATTTACAACCGGATGATTTAAAAAGCCTTGTTAGAATATTCATCCATTATAGCCCATAAAAGTTCACTGATGAACAAAATTCTTTCCCGTATATTGCCTCATAGGGGATTTTGCCATAGTTGCCATGTTTGGCGGGCAGAATGCATCGCAGTTTTTTTATTATTTTGATGCTGTCCATCTCCTGTTTCAGTTTTCCTCTGTCGTCTTTTACTATATCTGCGGGCGATATGGGATAGCGTACGTGAGGGTAATATGATACAGTGATACGACAGCTCTTTTTTAGTTCATTAAATAATAAAAAGTCGAAAGGGCGCTGTTTTTTACACTGACCAAATGAAAGACGGCAGCGTTAAGCTGTTATTTTACGCTGGTATTCTATGAGAGCGTGGTCCTTCCCCGGTCGAACCGATCTTTTCGTGCTACAACTATATTAGTAATATAGCTGCAGCATGGCTTTACCACGTAAAAATATATAGTCATTAACTGTTTTATAAATTTGATTTTTCGAAGTGTTTTTGATTATTGCCAAAGCTTGGTTGCTATTTTTTTAAAATATATTAGTTATAGTATATGATTTTGTGTTTTTTCTCTGTTCCCCTCCTAGTTTCGGTTTTATAATGCGGCAAAGCTTAAGATGATCATGTTAACCTCACGTACGTTAGTGTATATGGCGGTGTAGCTTCTCCACGGTGTTAGAGTATACACTATGGTGGTAATGCGGTGTGCCTGCAGGCGGAGCCCTTGTGGACGGGCGCGACCGGTGTGCGCGCACGGCGCTGCACGCGGCGGCGTGGCGCGGCCGCGCGCCGGCGCTCAGGGCGCTGCTGCGACACGGCGCCTCGCCCTCGGCCGTCTGCACGCAGGGTGCCACGCCCCTAGGTAATGTGGTGCACGCAGGCGGAGCCCTTGTGGACGGGCGGCGTGGCGCTCAGGGCGCTGCTGCGACACGGCGCCTCGCCCTCGGCCGTCTGCACGCAGGGTGCCACGCCCCTAGGTAATGTGGTGCACGCAGGCGGAGCCCTTGTGGACGGGCGGCGTGGCGCTCAGGGCGCTGCTGCGACACGGCGCCTCGCCCTCGGCCGTCTGCACGCAGGGTGCCACGCCCCTAGGTAATGTGGTGCACGCAGGCGGAGCCCTTGTGGACGGGCGGCGTGGCGCTCAGGGCGCTGCTGCGACACGGCGCCTCGCCCTCGGCCGTCTGCACGCAGGGTGCCACGCCCCTAGGTAATGTGGTGCACGCAGGCGGAGCCCTTGTGGACGGGCGGCGTGGCGCTCAGGGCGCTGCTGCGACACGGCGCCTCGCCCTCGGCCGTCTGCACGCAGGGTGCCACGCCCCTAGGTAATGTGGTGCACGCAGGCGGAGCCCTTGTGGACGGGCGGCGTGGCGCTCAGGGCGCTGCTGCGACACGGCGCCTCGCCCTCGGCCGTCTGCACGCAGGGTGCCACGCCCCTAGGTAATGTGGTGCACGCAGGCGGAGCCCTTGTGGACGGGCGGCGTGGCGCTCAGGGCGCTGCTGCGACACGGCGCCTCGCCCTCGGCCGTCTGCACGCAGGGTGCCACGCCCCTAGGTAATGTGGTGCACGCAGGCGGAGCCCTTGTGGACGGGCGGCGTGGCGCTCAGGGCGCTGCTGCGACACGGCGCCTCGCCCTCGGCCGTCTGCACGCAGGGTGCCACGCCCCTAGGTAATGTGGTGCACGCAGGCGGAGCCCTTGTGGACGGGCGGCGTGGCGCTCAGGGCGCTGCTGCGACACGGCGCCTCGCCCTCGGCCGTCTGCACGCAGGGTGCCACGCCCCTAGGTCACTACTCTCTCCCATTTATCGTCTTTCCAAGTGAACACAATTAAACAAAAACTCATTCACTCGCGAGCAACTTTTGCTGGGTACAGACTTAAGTAACGTATCTAATAACATGTAATGTAACGTGAAATGAAAGAATTTGCCGACCACATTAGTGTAATGTATTATGTAATGTAGAGATGTTACGGTGGCTCGATTCCGATTCCGAAAATTCGGATCTTCCGATTGATTTTGCACCTTCAATTCCGATTTCGGTTCCGTTAAATTTTAATCGGAAGTTACATATATATCGGAGGTCGATACACAGTGGCATCGGCGGCCGCGATCAGGGTGTTCAAACAAGCTTATACTTGTAATAAACCGGAGGGAGGTTTCCGGGGCGATTATTCTCCTTCTGTCGATTATTATTTTTTAATTTGATGTTTTGTTTCGTATTTGGCAATTGACGTATTTCGCAAGTGTTTTATTTGACGTGTAACAAGTTTATTTGAATTGAACAATGAAACCAAAATGAAGTGCCATTTGAAATTATTTCTATGAAATTTCTGGGAATAGAGCAAAATGTAAACTATGTGAAAAGAAATATTCACGAAAGGGAGGTACGACTACTTCGTTAAAAAGTCATTTAAAGTCTTTGCATGCCACTGAATTCGAAAAATTCAAAAAATTTTAAACTAAAAAGAAAAATACAGTGCAATAGACCTACCCTTAACACATCTCTCCTGTCTCCACCTCCGATTCCGGTTCCGACAAACAAAATTTAAAAACTGCTTCGGAATTGGGTTCCTATATAACCACTTCCGTAACATCCCTAACGTAATGTAACATACTGACAAATTTTCATAGTGTGTACGCCTTGCGCGCCCTTCTGTAATTTGCACTGTGCATTTCATGAACACACTACGAGCATTACAAATCGCGCACGGAGCGATCGATGATTTGTCGGTATTTCGAACGAACACAAAGGGACGCACAATGTGCTCGGGGCGTCAGTGTGGAAGGGTTGTATTTTATACGCGCACGAACACGAACTGATCACGTGCTGAAATCTCATGTTAGTCATTCATTCTGCACCAGCTCACTGTCTGTACAACTCTGTACGCCACCAACGACGAGATCTTTGGCGTTTTTTAAGACTTCAGACCTCAGAGTCACCGATTAATCGCGTCACACTACATTCTCTTCACGTGTTCTCAGCAGATTGACGCTATGTTCGCGCACACGACGGGCACATATATTCGGTTCGTGCGCGCGCTGCTTCCATGTTGATAAAATGCTCCTTTCATGTTACATTGCAAGTATAAGCAAGTAAGTCTGTACGCAGCATTAAATCGCTCAAATTGAACGCAAAAAGAATGAAACTTTTCAGATATCGGATTTGAAGTTTCGATCGGTAAACAATAGCAATATCTTGTTTAGATTTTATTTTACTTTATCTTTCATCTTATTTAGAAACTCATGTTTTTTTTTTAATAATTTTATTGCTAAAGGAATAATTTGCTACAGTAATAATTTTTATTTACACATTATTATATAATAATAGACTTCTACCGAAAAACTAAACCTTTCTGGAAAATAGGAAATAGTCAAAAATTTAACTATAGACTAACCTCTCAGATTATATCGAACATTATATCGAAGCAACAAAAATTAAATAATTCTGTAACATCCCTCTACAGTCTAGACAATGTGTTAAGTACTACATCGACCTGCGAAGCCGACGTAATTCTAATAGTAAAGTAGCGTAACGTCGGAAGGTTGTCATTTGAAGTAAATTCTCATAATTGTAATCTTAATTCTCATAATTTAGTAACGAGACTAATTATAATAAAATGTTTAGAATTTTAGTTAGAAATATGACCTGTGCTAATCCGAATGGATTGACTAGGACTGCATAGATTGAGGATTATTTAGTATTGTTTATAATTCTGACCCGAATTTGCTTACTGTCAAACATCTTCGGTAAATATTAATTATATAATAATATAAATAATAACGTGAAAATTATTTGTATTCAATAATATAATATTTATAGGTCGTTGATACTAAACATACTATGGAAAGCTTTGGTTTTATTGTTATTTATTTTTATGATTTTATTTCAGGTATAGCAGCGCAAGAAGGGCACGAGGAGTGCGTGCTATGGCTGTTACAACACGGTGCCGACCCTTTGCAAGCCGACCATTGTGGTAAGATATTGTATTTTAATTATGAAGCTAAAGTGTTGATTCCTTATATTTACGCGAACACTACACAATGAATAAAACTACTTTTACGGATTCTATTGCGTTTAGTTAACTTATTTTTTTATTATTTCCCGACGTTTTGGGTGCTTTACAGCACCCATCGTCACGGGGGATTGAAGTGATTGACGTTCAGATGTTAGAGTTAAATCCGGAGTACTTTCAGCATTTTTAATTAATAATTTTGGTTCGATCTACGCAGAATGAACTTACTGTGTCTTGAAGTCTTGCAGTGGTATGCTTGGGTTTAGATTTAATAAAAAAAAAGAAAACTAAACCCATTTGCATTGTGTTAAAACTTTGTTAACTTATTGCTTGTACGTGCGCGAAAGTTACAGGCATTGTACAATTAACTTACGTAGGTGGCGCGCGAATTGTGCCGATGAATTTATTTGAAAGTTATATATCATTCAACTTCAATGAACACATCTTTCAAATTTAAAACGATATTTCCACAATTATTACTTCCGTGGTAGCAACGTTGCCGTGTAGTGGCGGTCAAGAATATCCACTACCCCATATCCTCCCGTGGGTGTCGTAAAAGGCGACAAAGGGAAACAGGCAGAAGATGGGCAGCAGCATCTTCCTGATAATAGCCAAAATTATAATAAAAAAACTGCGGTTGCCAACCCGCTCGCCAAGCGTGGCAATTATGGCAAATACCCCCCAATGACTAAAGCAACAAACAGACGGCCCCCAGTCCCCGGCGGCCCCGCTATTCCTGGCTACGGTGGCGACCATGGTAACGGCGGGGCAGGGGGTGCTAAGAATCTCCGGTGGAGGTTCGGTTGCCACCTTAGACGACTCGACCTGGCAACGTACAACGCACGCACCCTGAGGACTGACGAGAAGATCGTGGAGCTGGAAAAAGAGATAGACAAGTTGCGCTGGCATATTATAGGATTATCCGAAGTCCGAAGAGAGGGGGAGGACACGGTAATCCTCGAATCCGGCAACTTGCTCTATCACCGGGAGGGCGACCATCTGTCCCAAGGAGGTGTCGGATTTATCGTCCACAAGTCTCTCGTTAACAACGTTGTAAAGATCGGGAGTGTGTCGACGAGGGTTGCGTACCTTATACTCAGAATCACCAAACGGTATTCGCTGAAGGTCATACAGGTTTACGCACCAACCTCGGCACACCCCGATCAGGAGGTGGAGGAAATGTATGAGGATATCTCTAGAGCCATGCATTCCTCCAAAACCCAATATACGGTGTTAATGGGAGACTTCAATGCAAAACTAGGCACAAGAGAGAACGGTGAGCTGAAAGTAGGGAAATTTGGAATAGGGCAACGGAACCCAAGGGGCCAGCAGCTGGCCGACTTCATGGAGAAAGAGGGACTCTTTATGATGAACTCTTTCTTCCAGAAGCGGCCCCACAGGAAGTGGACCTGGTCGAGCCCCGACGGTTCGACAAAAAATGAGATTGACTTCATTATGACGACCAGACGACAACTGTTCAGTGATGTCTCCGTGATCGCTAGGGTGAAAACTGGTAGCGATCACCGAATGGTTAGAGGCACACTGAACCTAAACGTTAAGTTGGAGAGGTCTCGTCTAATGAAGTCAACGCTCCGTCCCCCTCGTGCTCTAATCCAAAGTCCCGAAACCTTTCAGCTCGAGTTACAAAACCGTTTTCAGTGCCTAGAAGACTGCAATGAAGTGGAAGATATGAATGACAAGCTCGTGGAAACTGTCCATGCGGTCGGAGCTAAGTTCTGCAAGACCCGCCGCAGAAGAACACAAAAACTCTCCGATCACACTCTTAATCTCATGGCTGTTAGACGGGAGATGAAGCTACATTCTTCAACAGACTTGACAGCATACAGGCATCTGAACAGACAGATCTCCAAATGCATGCGGCGGGACTTACGCAACTTCAATACAGCTCGTATTGAAGAAGCGATCGAGCGGAACCAAGGCTCCAAAGTCTTAGCCAGAGATCTGTCTGCCAGAAAGAGCCAACTGTCAAAGCTGAAGACAGAATGTGGCAGCATCGTTTCCGGGACACCTGAGATTTTGAGTGAGATTGAGAGGTTCTATGGGCAGCTGTACACGTCATCGTTGGAGCCACACGCAAGTGTGAGTAACGATCCAAGAGCGAGTCTCATCCGACACTATTCCGAAGATATCCCGGACGTCAGTCTGAGCGAGATTAGAATGACTCTCCAGCACCTTAAAAACGGTAAGGCCCCAGGCGAGGATGGAATTACAGCGGAGCTTCTGAAAGCGGGTGGAAGACCGGTACTTGAAGTCCTTCAGAAGCTCTTTAATTCCGTCCTCCATGGTGGCATTACACCGGAGGCGTGGAGCAGAAGTGCAGTGGTCTTGTTCTTCAAGAAAGGTGACAACGCTCTCTTGAAGAACTACAGACCGATTTCCCTTCTGAGCCGCGTCTACGTGCTGTTTTCGAGAGTCATTACGAATCGTCTCGCGCGCAGACTTGACGACTTCCAGCCTCCCGAACAAGCCGGTTTCCGAAAGGGCTTTAGCACCATAGACCACATACATACCCTTCGGCAAGTTGTACAGAAGTCCGAAGAGTACAATTTGCCACTATGTCTGGCGTATGTGGACTATGAGAAAGCCTTTGATTCCGTCGAAATTTGGGCGGTGCTGCAGTCCCTTCAGCGGTGCCAAGTTGACTGTCGGTATATCGAAGTGTTGAAGTGCTTGTACAGTAGGGCTACGATGGCTATCCGAGTACAGAACCAGAGTACGAAACCTATCCAATTGCAGAGAGGTGTAAGACAGGGTGACGTCATATCCCCGAAACTCTTCACCGCTGCATTGGAAGACGTTTTCAAGCTTCTGGACTGGAAAGGGTACGGTATCAACATCAATGGCGAGTACATCACTCACCTTCGATTTGCCGACGATATAGTCCTTATGGCAGAATCGCTGGAGGGCCTAAGCACTATGCTCAATGACCTCAATAGTGTTTCCCAACGGATAGGTCTTAAGATGAACGTGGACAAAACAAAGATTATGTTTAATGTCCATGTCACACCTATGCCGGTAGTTGTTGGGAGCACTAAGCTCGAAGTTGTTGACGAGTATGTTTACCTGGGACAAATAGTCCGACTAGGTAAGTCCAACTTCGACCGAGAGGTCAATCGACGGATTCAACTCGGCTGGGCAGCGTTCGGGAAGCTACGACACATCTTTTCGTCAGACATACCTCAAAACCTTAAAACGAAATTGTACAACCAGTGCGTGTTGCGAGTGAGGACTTACGGAACTGAGACGTGGTCCTTCACTGCTGGCCGTATGAGGAAGCTCAAGGTCGCTCAGCGAGCTATGGAGAGGGCTATGCTCGGAGTTTCTCTGCGTGATAAACTTAGGAATGAGGATATCCGCAGTAGAACCAGAATAACCGACATAGCCCAACGAATTAGTAAGCTGAAGTGGCAGTGGGCCGGCCATATAGCTCGAAGAACCGACAACCGATGGGGAAGAAAGGTTCTCGAGTGGCAGCCTCGTACCGGTAGGCGAAGTGTAGGGCGTCCCCCCACGAGATGGAGTGACGACCTGGTAAGACATGCAGGAAGTCGATGGATGCAGGTGGCTCAGGACCGTGCTTTGTGGCATTCTTTGGGGGAGGCCTATGTTCAGAAGTGGACTTGTGAAGGGCTGTAATGATGATGATGATGATGTGGTATCAACGCGCCGGATAATCAGCTAATATAAAATAAAATTCTTGAATAGAAAAAAAATTGTAGACCAATCCAATCATTGATCATAATTTTTATTTTAGCTGTTAATTTTTCGTTTAAAATTAAAGACCGTCGCGTCGTTGTTAATTACCAGAGATAAAATACTATTATCGCAAAAATGCAACAGCTACTTTAGACATCATTCTACATTCCTTTGAAATGGTTTATTAAAAATGATGAGCGAAAATGGATTGTTTTATAGAATGTTTATGGTTTATGGGCAGGTCGAACTCCTGCGAAGGTGGCGTGGCGCGCGGGGCACGCCGCAATCTGCCGCCTGCTGGAGCGCTGGGCCGCGCCCTCCGCCCCCGCCGCCCCCGCACCCGCACCCGCCCCCGCGGCACCCGCAGCTACCGCGGCGCTCCTCCCCACACCAGCCGTCGACGAAGTCCTACGTCCCCGCCCTGGTGAGAATGTTGATGATGAAACGCAAAAATCGATCTTTTTTGAACACATCCTTACACCTTAAATGCTCAAAACATATATTATATGCATATATTTTAAAATAATTATATGTTTACAATGTAACTAAATGGTCAGGCAAAAAGGTCAGAGATAAAATTATGATATAATATTTAGTCAAGTAGTGGTGATTTCGATGAATATAACTACCGATAATGCGTTCGTAATGGTGTCAAAACATCGATATTTTATCTATTAACTTCGTCGATGAATATCGATAATCAGTCGATCATCGAACGAATGTATGCAGGACGGTATCCATGATTGCTTTATATTTGAAAAACTGCTATACAATTTTTTTAATTATTATTTTCATTGGAATTGCAGCAGATTTCCCATTTATTATTTTTTTTTTTATGTAATATACAGCAGCTTCACCCGAGTACAAACGGCGGAGCGTCCACAGTTCAAACTCTACAAAATCCTCGTCAAATCTAACGGGTGGATCGGCACGATCGCACGAACAACCTGACCACGACTTGTCCCACAACGACAAGGTAATAATAAAAAACCTATGTTATAGAAAGTTTTAAACCGGTGCGCTCCTCATACCTTTACTATCTCTCTTTGAATTATCCTACATACAAAGATATTATCACTATTCCCTTATAACGGTGATCAGTGAGTCTACATGTGGTAGAGCCATGCTACAGCTATATTAATAGTGTATTTGTAGAACGAATGGATAGACTCGACAGGAGAAGGACCACGCTCTCACAGAATACCAGCGTAAAATAGCAGCTTAATACTGATGTGTTTTGTATGGTGAATATAGAGAACCGGAGACCTTTTTTACTAGAAAAGAGGCATTCCATCTTAGCCCTGACGGCTGACAATGCATCTGCATTTTATTCACTAACGATGATAGATGTAGATGTCTATGGGCCACAGCAACCACTTAGCATCAGGTGAACTGTGTGCTCGCTTGTCACCCTTATCCTTAAAAAAAAAACTACAGTGTACTTAAAATGTTTATTTCTGATTAACTTATACTTTTTAATTTTTTTACCTTACTACAAATAAAAATAACAAAAATAAAAATTTGGACTTACATTTCATTTTGCATGTAAATGACTGGTCCTTTTAGCCTGATATGAAACTCTGACATAGAATAGGTCTTGTTCCCTATTTAATCTAAATTATTTTGAATAAAAGTTACTAACAACTTTAACATTGTTTTCTTAAAGTCTATGTCAGAAGCTTTTTATTAGATGGTAAGCCTTTTCTATATCTATATAGAGAGCCAGTAAAATTACAAACTGTAAGGCATTCTTATTTCACAGAGGTAACAATGTATCCAGTAGCCATATTTGCTTAAAGTGTGTTGCAGATGAAACCACTTACCATGAGGTGGACTGCACGATTGGATAGATCGTTTGTAACTATAGTTTTATAAAAAAAGTTTTTTATTAGTGTTAAAAATTTTATGTATACAAATTCTTTTTCCAGGCTAATCGAACAAACCTATCCTTGTCATTCGCTCAACAAGTTGCACGTTGCGGACGAAGTAGACGAGATAAAGAGCGAGACGAACCCATACCGGAGCATCATGTGGTTGAGAAGGACTCTAAACTCAGGTAATTTCGATTAGTTTTCCTTTACTTACCTTACATAAAATTATCTGTTATGAGATTAGCATAGTCATATCCCCGAAACTCTTCACCACTGCATTGGAAGACATTTTCAAACTTCTGGACTGGAAAGGATACGGTATCAACATCAATGGCGAGTACATCACGCACCTTCGACTTGCCGACGATATAGTCCTTATGGCAGAATCGCTGGAGGACCTAAGCACTATGCCCAATGGCCTCAGTAGTGTTTCCCAACGGATAGAACGAGACTGTACAATCAGTGCGTGTTGCCAGTGATAACCTATGGAACTGAGACGTGGTACTTCATTGCTGGCCGGATGTGGAAGCTCAAGGTCGCTCAGCGAGCTATGGAGACGGCTATGCTCGAAGTTTCTCTGCGTAATAAACTTAGAAATGAGGATATCCGTAGTAGAACCAGAGTGACCGACATAGCCCAACGGATTAGTAAGCTGAATTGGCAATGGGCCGGCATTATAGCTCGAAGAACCGACAACCGATGGGGAAAAAAAGGTTCTCGAGTGGCAGCCTCGTACCGGCAGGCGAAGTGTAGGGCGTCCCCCACTAGATGGAGTGACGACCTGGTAAGATATGCAGGAAGTCGATGGATGCAGGTGGCTCAGGACCGTGCTTTGTGGCATTCCTTGGGGGGGTGGCCTATGTTCAGCAGTGGACTTGTGAAGGGCTGTAATGATGATGATGATAAGATTAACAGTTATACAAAAGTAAAGGAAATAATTGTGGAGGTTTCTTTTGTTTTATTAATTATAAAAATACTTATTTTATTAATTATTATTTACAAAGTAATATTACAATAAGTTACTAATCCATGAAATAGTTAACACCGTGCGCTCCCCATAGGCAGGCAAGGAAGGAATGCCTATGATACGTTTGGCAGTCTGCCTCCTTTCTTTTATATTTTCTCTGATGATATTTTCACTAGTGCGAAAGCGAATGATTTGTAATATATTTTAATAATATTAATTTATGTTAATATCTAAAACTTAAGGTACGAATATGTATCATTTGTTTGGTCATTTTTCGGATAAAGTTATTTTTATATTTTTAGAAGCTACATAGCAAATGAACGTGACGCGGAACTACACGGATACGCCCGCGAGAGGGACAGGCGACGGGAAGAGAGGCATGGATACAGCGGGTGCGAGCGAGAGAGCACTAGTCCATTGTACGCGTCGCCGCCACGTAGTCCCGTCAGCGACATCTGTAGTCCTACGACACAACCTTTAGGAGCTTTTGGTAAGATATAAATGCTCCCAAAAACTTAATGCAGCATATGTTGTGAATACAATCTGAAATGTTTCACTAAACAGGCAAATGTTGTATTATTATAATTGGCTAAAAATCTCATTTTAAATGTTGCTTATAAATTGTGATATAAAGAGGCATGAAGCAAATCATTATGAAAGTTGGGTGTGACTCTGAGTGAAAGTTTGATAAATCGTGTGATATGAGAAAACAAATGTATTTATTATTATTATTATAACACCTAATATAACAAGAGTATGTCAGAATAGATATACCTGTATAGGGCAAATAACAGTACACTTAAATATAAAGAGCGTTATCAAAAAGAAGAGAAGCTGTAAATTGAAAATGGGCAAATGCAATGGGCTGGTCGTACACTTTAGTTTCCATATGTATACATGTAAACAAGTAATTATCTGTTTTCAGGCTCCCAACCGCCGAGCCTGACCTCAGTTCAACCCGTTCTAACGGATACGCACTTCAACCGCGACACACACATGCGCATCATACTTGGCCGGGACAGCAAACCATCTAACGACCGATCTGATAAGTGCGTATTTAACATTTTACAAAAATTTGCTAGAAATAATCCTCGAGCGCTCAAATTTTATGCTGTTTAACCCTATTTTGTATATGCATATATGACGATATAAATCTTAATGTGTCTTCACCAGTGCTTAGGTTTAAAATCCCGTGTAGACCAATAAAGAGCGTAAAGGGCGGCCACGAATAGTGCGTGTATTATGAAACTTAAAGTTGGGAAACATTATTATATTTTAATCTCTTTTTAACCACTAATTTTGACACCCTATATTTTTATTAGTAATTTGCCACGCCCCTTTTTGACAGAAGTAATTCTTAATTTGCAATAAATTGAACTTTAAAACTGTGAATTATTATTTGCAGGTTTAAAACACAAAACCACTTTTCTATTGAAAACTTACTTATGACTAATACCTATTAGATATCAGTCGGTAATCTTTCCATATTATGTATCCAAGTATGAGGAATCGCTTTTAGCATATCTTGAAAATAATATTTTATTATTTTTAAACATTTGTGAAAACTGCGTTATGTATATTTATAAAAAAAATATATATGCAGTTATAAGAGAGCACATCCAATAATTATACAAACTGGCATGTTCCTTTAGGCATGACTATATTGTATTTTAATTATTATTTATTTAATTACCTTGTCAGTGTTGCTGCTTTTTGTCTGTGTAAAGCTTATTTGGACAGAAGTATTTTGTGTGAATTTTAAACATCCTATGATGCCACTCAGTTACTGAAAAACAAAATTGGTTTTATTTTATTATCAAAATATGAAAGTTTTTAATAGTTTACACTTGTCAAATTGACAGATGTCATTTTGACGTCTATCAAAGACAACATACGCCATAGAAAATGAAGCGCTCGTTATATAATAAAAGATTATTTTGATCCGAACTAAGATGGACAAGTTCATGCAAAATGCTCTCTGTTAAAACATTAGATGTTTACATTTAGCTAAGTAGTACAATGTACATATACATAGCGAGGTGTGGACTACGAGGGGTCGACTCGCGTACAACAAGATAGTGGGCAGTTTCGGCAGAGCGAGGGGGCGAATTTTTAAGAAAACGTGAGTTAAATCATCTTCCTTGCAGAGTGGGTCACTGTGATTTTATGTGGTTGGGTGAATTGCGTTGGGTTTTTTTTGTATGTAAAAAGTCTTTATGTTCACGTAACTGAGATCTTACTTCAATGCAACTTGCATTGTAATAAAAAAAAATTGGAGGTACTGAGAATGTTTTATTTTTGTCTTATTTTATGTTATTTCTGTTATATTTTATTTACGTGACAAGGGTTTATATTATAACAAATTAAAAATATATTGTCATTAGTTTTAAATATATATTTTATTTACTAAAGAATTTAAAGTTTTACGGTTATTTTATAAAAATGTTCGTACATAAAATGCGATTAAAATAAAAATGAAACCAGCCGTCGCAAAAAAGTTAATATTGTTGTGTTTTTGTACACTTTTTATTAAAAAAGATTATCCATTTGTCATTAGTTTTTAATTACAAATTAATTTTTGTTTCAGAATATCTGTTTGTCTTATAAAGTAAAGTAGAGCTGCTATTTTTTACTCTACTAATTTAAGTAATCTGTTATTAGAAACTAAATCGATTAATTACGTTTATGGATTTGATTTTCGGATATTATGATAACCCAATGCGTTTGTATACAATAAACCAAACCAATGTCACAGTGACTGCATACGCTGGAGAATTTGGCTGGAGACATCATGCTTCAAGAAGACATCATCGCTTAATTTATCATTGTTTCCATTTTACTCAATAACATTAGGAGTCAATAAACTCGCAGTCAGCTGTTAACTCTTTGTGCTAGGGTTGCCAACCATAATATGCGTTATGCTACATCATTAATTCATATTACATTCAGTATTAATCTAATAGTTGGCAACCCTATATAGTACTATATTTAGAAAAACTTTGATATTATTATAATTCCCACAGCGTAGTATATGAAAGTGTAGATTATTATGTATATATAATTTATGAATAATTACTGTCTTGATTGTCTTGCTTTTGTTTTTTTTAAATCATGAGCAGCAAAATATGCATGTTGCGTACAATTCTACTATTGATTATTGTAATTTTTGGAATATATAGGGTCGGCTTTACATTTATTTTTAAATGCATGTATAGAAATAAAAAAAATAAGGTTTCTAAAAATTCGCTTACCCTTTCTAGTGTAGAATAGAACCTTCCCCGTTCAGAGTTACTTGCGTTTTTTATTTATTTAAGTAACAGCTTTGTAGTGGAACTCTTTTGTGGAGTAGCTATTTAGTTGTCTCTAAAGTCATATTGTTTACCCATGTGCTATCGTTACACACGATTTTTGATATTAATTTTCCATGATTTCATAATTTATTCACTGTTATTTGTTAAAATCGCACTAACACTGCCTGTTATTATTTGTTTAACAAACCATACTATTAAGCAGAATGCAAAGTAACGTCTTAAATATCTCCCAAATCTTTGGGAGGTATATCGGACGTTACTCGTGTAGTTACGTTGCGTAGAGGAAGAATATCATGAATGGTAAACTATAATAGTATTCCCGGTGGTGGTGGTTCCAGAGGTCTATAGAAATTAAAAAAAATATAGTTTCCTTACATGTAAATAATCAATCAAGTTACTTAAAAAGGTTAAAAAATGCAATTATGATATAACAAAACGTTAAGTGTCACTATCCAAGAAATAGCAACACTCAATAATTCTTGCTAACTATGATATTATAGTGTTGCTATTTCTGAATAAATTTTCGAATTAGTATAAGATATTTTACATAAAAATGTATAATATTTTAAATAAATAATTTATTTAAAATAAAAAATAGCAAAATTTTCCAATTATAAAATAACTTTCTAATCGAGTTTTTGTAATTTTACATATTATTAGACCATCCAGTACAGCCCTTAAAAGTCCGCTGCTGATCAAAGGTCTCCTCATATATTGCCTAGTAGGCAGATTTTGGCATAGTTGCCACTCTAGGCGGGCGGGGTGTCGACCGCAGTATTTCATTATTTTCAGATGCTATCAGAAAGATGCTGCTGTCCATCTTTTAGAAAGTCAAGAAAGATAACCAATCGCTAAAACAATTATCTACTGCGGAACAGTGAATGAGAAGGCCGACTGCCCTGCCAGAGTGCCATTTGCATTGTTTGTTGACTGGAATGTTGTGCAAGAGACATAAGAGATACAATCCACTGGAGACGCATAGTAAAAATGAAATTAATAAAAAATAAATTAAATTCCAGTAAGAAATATGTCTTTTTGTTGCAGCAAAAGCAAGCGAAACGGTATGGTCACAAACCCAGCAATGAGGCTAGTTGCCAATGTGAGGAATGGACTGGGTAATTATTTTTATTCGTTTATATTTTTATTTAGCTATATATTAATTTGTGAAGATAAAACTTTGCACCTCTTTTTAAGCACATTCCGTGCACGTAGTAGTGTGAGATGTGGCATAGTTAAAGTTTATATGGAGAGTGTAGAAAGCAAAAATTTATATATAAGTAATATGTGTTACAAATACATTGAATAAAATAAAATATAACTTTCATTGTTTACATTAATACTGCCATACACATAATAGTCTGTGGTCAAACAGTCGCACAGAGTACAGATTGTCGCCAAATAATTTTTAAATGTTGCCAACTAATAATTACTACATTGCATCAAAAATGTTGCCGTGTAGTGACGGTTAAGAATATCTACTACTCCACATCTTCCCGTGGGTGTCGTAAAAAGCGACAAAGGGAAACAGGCAGGAGATGGGCAGCAGCATCTTCCTGATAACAGCAAAAATACAATAAAAAACTGCGGTTGCCAACCCGCTCGCCAAGCGTGGCAACTATGGTAAATACCCCCCAAATGGATAAAGTTACTAAGAGACGGATCCAGTCCCCGGCGGCCCCGCTATTCCTGGCTACGCTAGCGACCATGGTAACGGCGGGGCAGGGGGTGCTAAGAATCTCCGGTGGAGGTTCGGTTGCCACCTACGACGACTCGACCTGGCAACATACAACGCACGCACCCTGAAGACTGACGAGAAGATTGTGGAGCTGGAAGAAGAGATAGACAAGTTACGCTGGCATATTACAGGATTATCCGACGTCCGAAGAGAGGGGGAGGAAACGGTAATCCTCGAATCCGGCAACTTGCTCTATTACCGGGAGGGCGACCATCTGTCCCAAGGAGGTGTCGGATTTATCGTCCACAAGTCTCTCGTTAACAACGTTGTAAAGATTGAGAGTGTGTCGACGAGGGTTGCGTACCTTATACTCAGAATCACCAAACGGTATTCGCTGAAGTTCATACAGTATTACGCACCAATCTTCGCACACCCCGATGAGGAGGTGGAGGAAATGTATGAGGATATTTCTAGAGCCATGCATTCCTCCAAAACCCAATATACTGTGTTAATGGGAGACTTCAATGCAAAACTAGGCACAAGAGAGAACGGTGAGCTGAAAGTGGGGAAATTTGGAATAGGGCAACGGAACTCAAGGGGCCAGCAGCTGGCCGACTTCATGGAGAAAGAGGGACTCTTTATGATGAACTCTTTCTTCCAGAAGCGGCCCCACAGGAAGTGGACCTGGTCGAGCCCCGACGGTTCGACAAAAAATGAGATTGACTTCATTATGACGACCAGATGACAACTGTTCAGTGATGTCTCCGTGATCGCGAGGGTGAAAACCGGCAGCGATCACCGAATGATTAGAGGCACACTGAACCTAAACGTTAAGTTGGAGTGGTCTAATGAAGTCAACGCTCCGTCCCCCTCGTGCTATAATCCAAAGTCCCGAAACCTTTCAGCTCGAGTTACAAAACCGTTTTCAATTCCTAGAAGACTGCAATGAAGTGGACGATTTGAATGACAAGCTCGTGGAAACTGTCCATGCGGTCGGAGCTAAGTTCTGCAAGACCCACCGCAGAAGAACACAAAAACTCTCCGATCACACTCTTAATCTCATGGCTGTTAGACGGGAGATGAAGCTACATTCTTCAACAGATTTGACAGCATACAGGCAACTGAACAGACAGATCTCCAAGTGCATGCGGCGGGACTTACGCAACTTTAATACAGCTCGTATTGAAGAAGCGATCGAGCGGAACCAAGGCTCCAAAGTCTTTGCCAGAGATCTGTCTGCCAGAAAGAACCAACTGTCAAAGCTGAAGACCGAATGTGGCAGCATCGTTTCCGGGGCACCTGAGATTTTGAGTGAGATTGAGAGGTTCTATGGGCAAGTGTGAGTAACGATCCAAGAGCGAGTCTTATCCGACATTATTCCGATGATATCCCGGACGTCAGTCTAAGCGAGATTAGAATGGCTCTCCAGCACCTTAAAAACGGCAAGGCCCCAGGCGAGGATGGAATTACAGCGGAGCTTCTGAAAGCGGATGGAAAACTGGTACTTGAAGTCCTTCAGAAGCTCTTTAATTCCGTCCTCCATGGTGGCATTACACCGGAGGCGTGGAGCAGAAGTGCGGTGGTCTTCTTCTTCAAGAAAGGCGACAACGCTCTCTTGAAGAACTACAGACCGATTTCCCTTCTGAGCCGCGTCTACGTGCTGTTTTCAAGAGTCATTGCGAATCGTCTCACGCACAGACTCGACGACTTTCAGCCTCCCGAACAAGCCGGTTTCCGAAAAGGCTTTAGCACCATAGACCACATGCATACCCTTCGACAAATTGTACAAAAGTCGGAGGAGTACAATTTGCCACTATGTCTGGCATGTTTGGACTACGAGAAAGCCTTTGATTCCGTCGAAATTTGGGCGGTGCTGCAGTCCCTTCAGCGGTGCCAAGTGAACTGTCGGTATATCGAAGTGCTGAAGTGCTTGTACAGTAGGGCTATCCGAGTACAGATCCAGAGTACGAAACCTATCCAATTGCAGAGAGGTGTAAGACAGGGTGACGTCATATCCCCGAAACTCTTCACCGCTGCATTGGAAGACGTTTTCAAGCTTCTGGACTGGAAAGGATACGGTATCAACATCAATGGCAAGTACATCACTCACCTTCGATTTGCCGACGATATAGTCCTTATGGCAGAATCGCTGGAGGACCTAAGCACTTTGCTCAATGGCCTCAATAGTGCTTCCCAACGGATAGGTCTTAAGATGAACATGGACAAAACAAAGATCATGTTTAATGTCCATGTCACACCTATGCCGGTAGTTGTTGGGAGCACTAAGCTCGAAGTTGTTGACGAGTATGTTTACCTGGGACAAATAGTCCGACTAGGTAAGTCCAACTTCGACCGAGAGGTCAATCGACGGATTCAACTCGGTTGGGCAGCGTTCGGGAAATTACGGCACATCTTCTCGTCAGGTATACCTCAAAACTTGTAAACGAGACTGTACAACCAGTGCGTGTTGCCAGTGATGACATACGGAACTGAGACGTGGTCCTTCACTGCTGGCCGGATGAGGAAGCTCAAGGGAGTTTCTCTGCGTGATAAACTCAGAAATGAGGATATCCTCAGTAGAACCAGAGTGACCGACATAGCCCACCGGATTAGTAAGCTGAAGTGGCAATAGGCCGGCCATATAGCTCGAAGAACCGACAACTGATGGGGAAGAAAGGATCTGTAGACTTTATTTTATCTGGCTTCTACGAAATATTTATACTACAATCAGTTTAATGGCACGAAAAGGAGGGTGTATATTTACATCGGTGAAAGGTTAAATATTCTAGTGTTGCTATAATTTGTTATTTAAATATATTAATTCATTGTAACAGACAGTGCAGCTGCGAACATCCGTCGGACGGGCGTGGCTTTAGCTGCTAGCGCCAGTTCCTCCAACCCGGCCGTCAAAACGAACGCATTTCAGTGGCGGAAAGAAACGCCGCTATAAAAAAATCTAATGTTAAAAAGAGATGGCTCTATCCAAAATTTGATATGTCCGATATGGGCAAGAATATGCAATTGCTAGATCTTTTATATTATAAAGATTTTTTTTTGTTTTGTTTCGAGACTTATTTCGGTGAGAGCGAATATAAAAACATACTTATTGTAAAATCGGGAAGAAATGATGCAAATATATTTTGCAATATGTATTTTCGAATTAAAGCGTAAGTAAACGAGTAAAATTGTGTATAATAGAGCTTTATTTTCTTAGAGGATGATAACTATATTTCTATACGACACTTGTGCTAGTTTTGAGTTAATCTAAGTCAATGTCCTTTCTAATCTTCTTCCTCTTAAATATGATCCTCTCCCTCTCTAGATAGACTCTACTTTGTACGTAATTATTTAGTTCAGGGTGATACCTACTTTTGTTTGAAGAAAAAATAATAATAAAAAATTATACTTTTTTATTTTTATTTTTTGTTTAACATTGTATCAAAAATATAACCTCCTAATCTGTGTAAGCTTAATCAAATAAGAAAAACTAAATATGTGTGGAAAATGTGGAATAATTATGACGCTATGAAATACGTCACTTAAAGTAACGAACTTTAGTTAGTAAAAGTTCGAAAAGAAACTAATGATCTGTACTAAACATATGTATTATAATTACTTAATATAGTCGTAGTAGTACGGGGTACTATTGAATTGCACTTATTGTTAGTCATTATTTAGTGCAATTAATAAAAACAACATTGAAAACGGTCTATCAAACAATTCGCTTGGCGTTTCCAAGTTGAGATGATGATGACGTAATCACCACACTGATCAGGCTGATTGTCCAAAAATACCTTATGCGGGTACTAATTGTAACTATAAACGTGATGAAAACGAAGATTAGGTCCGATTCACGTATAGGTACATATTTATCACTGCCGTAACCTGTCGCTTCGCAAACTTGACCGATTCGTCCAATGAGCGTAAACCACTGGGTTTGTCGAACCACATATAAGGGTTTGTCGGAAGCTCGTAGTACCAACATTGGGACATTTCTTTCGGACCCCAATTCGGATTCGGACATTGAAGAATTCACGGCACTTCTCTTTTAATCGACTGAATTCCTACAACGCTAATGAAACAAGATAGGTCTCAAACTATTACAGATTAAACCAAAACATGAATATAAGTATTAGTGCGCTGTTAGACCGGAAGAGACAAATTATGTGTTTATTTAAATAGACATACTTCTAAGTGACTAAACTCCCTTAAAACTTGCTGTAAAGGCTTATCTTTTATATATTTCTCGTTCTGGGTAGAGTATATTGAACATGTTTCAGCAATAGCTTCTGACTTGTGGACCTTGCTTATTTTCAAATTTAACCACTGAGTCTTCGGAATTGTTATACATGATATTTAATACACGGCTTCTGGTAATTACAATATTTCCATACTCGACGTCATTCTCGGCTCAATTGATAAATCAATTAAATTTACAAAAATATATATATATACCAAGAAACATGAACGCTACTTTAGCGCATATCGAAAGAACGAACGAATAGATGATTTTTTAATCGATGTAGAAGACTGAAAGTGTTGACGATGTTGCTTCGTCTAAAATACATAACAGCAATAATAATTAACGATAAAAAATACAAACGTATTTACATTATCTATGTACAAATTCATCATGTGCTGCTTATAAAGGCGGTGCTTGTAGCACTGTTAAGCAATGTAGGTAATAAATATAACCTTATTTCCTTTTAACATGTGTACATCTCATTGTTACATGTAAACTGCAAATAAATACATCTTTAGAAGTGAAAACACTACCGCCCTATAGCTTAGCAACTAATTGCTAAAAGTGAAGCTAAGCTAGAACATTTTGGAAACAACAGTCTGAACTATGAAATTAATAAATCTATAACTAAACAGCACTACTCAATTAGTACTAAATAGCTGAAAAGTGCTGAAAACCATTATCAGTATTAAACAACATTCTAAATTTCCAAATTGCATTTTAGCTAAAATAGTACAACTCTTCGTATAAATGGCCTGATCTCAAATCGAACAAAGTTAACTAATTTAGTTGTTTTTTTTTTTTAGAAAATTTTAGTATCTACACTCTGGTGCATTTACGCGCGTAATATTTTGCTAATGTATTCGTAAAGAAAGAAACTAGTCCATAAGTATTTGTGTATGAAATGTTTTATCTGAAAATAAAAATGTGTAAGCGATATAGCAAGTATATAAACTTATTAACTTTAGTAGGATATTTTGAAATTATTAAACGGCAACACCAATATGTTAGTGCGTGCGATGAGTATGTATCGATATAATGTATGCAACGTTTCTGTTAGTATGTTTAGTAAAAAAAAAAATATTTTAATATGTATATTCTTTTTCAATTTTCTGATGTGGGTAAATGCTAATATCATCGATATATATGTACTACGCACTATATTTCGCATTCCGAACATTGACTATGTTCAACTGAACTGTACTGCAATCCGTACACTAAACTAAATATTGTGTAAATTGAACATTTGTGAAATCCATAAGATGATATTATTACATTTTATTTCGAAATATGTTTGTTTGGTTTAAAGTAAGAGTATTTTATATTAAATTCTTTTATTTATTTTATATTAATACCTTATTTTATATAATATTAAAGTCTTCGCACATACGCGACTCTACTATCTCCCGCGCATGCGCAAAGACATAGAGTAGCACACAATTTTTGTTTGGAATAGCTTCTCTAGTACATAGTACATTTAACTCGATGGCTAATATAGTGTGTTGTCTGGCTAGCAGTGTTTAAATGAGTACTCCAGTTCCCTTCATTTTTTACTCGTTATATCTATAGCCTGATTCATATTTGAGTAAGGCCTTGGCAAGCAAAGCGTTTGGCAGGGCAACATGATCAACACGCACTGTTGTATCAGTATCCTGAGCGAAACCCGCTCGAGTTGTATGACAATTTAATGCTACGCCACACGCTCAGCCGAATGCCTCAGGCCATAGTCTTAGACAAATAAAAATCGTGTTGATGGCTGTCACCTCCTCAGACCAAAAAAGAAAGAAAGGCGGATCAGAGCGTACATTTCAAGTGACGTAAAAACCAAGCCAAGACCATGCTTAACTTATTGTAGGAACACACTCACGTACGTATATGTATCTAAAATGAAATTGTTTTAGTGCATATTATGTGTTCAACTTTTACAGGCTCATTAAGGAACAATGAAGAAAGATGAGCGCGTTAATGCATGTTAAGAAGTTGAACACTGTTTTTGCGTCACTTGAATGCGCGCAGCGCTCCGTCTTTCTTTATTTAATAGTCAGGTCATCGCAAAAACGAGCATAAATTGTGTTAAGAGTGTGTCGTATTAAAATTATCGTTATTTGAAAATTGAAGGCATTGGTTGCATGTTTTAATTAGTTAACTGCCCTGCCTACGGTAAAATCAATGTTTTCTATTTTTGTCCTTGAATTTTCTAGTCTTCATAAAGAACTTAATTTTTGTATTAAAAATTTGACAAAGATTTTGTAAAATATTCCACAACCTTCAAAACATTGATCATTTCTTACATTATAATCGCTTAAATGCAAGAGCCCGGCTCCGTGGCGCAGTGGCTTAGCAATGAGTTGCAGCGCAAAGGGCCGCGGGTTCGAACCCGCACGGAACAAGTATTTGTATGGCTTACAACAAGTATTTGTATGGCTTATTCCGGGTCTGGATGTTTGTCCTTGTGCAATTTATGTATGTATACTGCTCCCACGATACAGGAGAAAATACTAGTGTGGAGTTAGCGTTTTAATTTAAAACAAAAATAAGTCTATTATATAATATGAACTCCTCAAAGAGGTGTTAATTTATGATGAAATTTGTTTATCAGAAATGTAAAAGAGAACATATTATATCATAGAAACTTTTGCAGAAACAACTGCAGCTTCATAATTTGTGTTTGGCTATTACATATTTAAAACATTAATAAAAATCTTTGACAAATAAAAAGACCACAACATTTTGTTCAGGAAATTAACTGCAGCAGTAAATAAAACAGTTCTTTAGTTTATTCATTTCTCGAATGGTAACCGTTTGCAATGTTATTTGGTGAAATATGTGTCATATATTGAGGCTATATGTGTAATTTGTTGATATTTTTACAAATTTGTGTGAACTTTTTCGTATCGTTTAGAAATTTTATGTTAAATACGACCTTATTCTATAAAACGTAAGGAATATTAGACACAAACATAAAGAGCTACTTCTCTTTATGTGATTCTATGTATTTTGTACAGTCATTTAAAAATTTGGCCTATATGTTTCTAGATCGATTGCTCGTATTGGAACGTTCCATTTATTAATTTTATTATAATCATAAATCAATTCTTGCTTTTTCCAGTCAATATATAGTAAATTCGTGCGTTGTGAGTGCATTTCGAAATAAAGACTTCCTTGATTTTGATTAAATTAATGGACAAGTTTATTTAAGTTTCTAAAGGTCTATATTTTGCTCGATTTAAAATATGATTTAATAATTGAGACAAAGAGATGGTAAATCTTAAATCTCAACGTCATTCACAAACATTGATCAGATGAATGCAACTGTAGTCAGACTTAACTTAACAGAAATTTCAAGATTATATGTTGTATTTTAAATAAAACTAATTTTATGTACGAATTTTAAAACTATTAGCCAATATCCAATTAGATGATGGCTATATGGTAATATTTTGGAGGATAAGCTCGTTTGTTTTCTTTCTCTGTTACTTTCTTCTCATGTTTTAGATCTAAAAAAGTTACATTGATATAAGTCCACATCTTTGATTTACACAACTAAAATGTTAAGGTATTGTATTCTGAATACTGTTAAGTAAATCAGAACAATAGATTTACGATATGAATGTTATATCTCATCGTAATGAAGTATTTCAAAATGCACTGCACAACGCCAATGCGATAGTTATAAATGTACGCTTATTTTGTATAAAAGATATAGT